AGAAGAAGAAAACGTAAAAAAACAAAACAATCAAGACTCGACTGTCGAGGGCATGGGCAAGACCGCGCAGAAACGAACTTTTCACGATTTTCCCTACGTTTCTCCTATTCGTCAGGATGGTCCGGGACGAAAGCAGTCCCGGAGTTTCGTCATCCTTCCCGATGATTGCGGACCGTGGGCAAATCGTCCGTTGTGACCTTTAAAGGCACGATATCCACGAGGAGTATCGACCCGATCCCGTGGGAAGGCATTTTTGGAATCCGCCACGGCCAATTAGCAGCCGTTGCAACACTGAGAAAAGACGAAGAAACAAGAAAAATGAGTTAAATTATAAAAAACACGAAAAACCCAGGACAATAAAATCGCCCGATCCGATAATAAATGTTAAAACCGATCTCGGACGAGCACAACACAAAATCAAACCATGCAAAACTATAAACATCAACATGTTTTACAATAAAGCATAATTCACAAAATAAGCCGATTTCTACAGGTACAATAACGGAATATCCACGGAACATGTGCCTAATAGTCGTCCTGGACCTGTCTGACAAGATTGTCAACCATCGACGGAACAAAGAAAAGTAATGTGTCGTCGTGTTTCGGTTCTCTTCATATGTCCTTGTCTGTCTGTTTGCTTTGGCATGTCAGATACGTTTCGGCGTATCGTATCTTCAGTGGATCCCGTGGGAAGGCATTTTTGGAATCCACCACGGCCAATTAGCAGCAATCACAATAAAACATAATTCACAAAATAAGCCGATTTCTACAGGTACAATAACGGAATATTCACGGAACATATGCCCAATAGACTCTCTCCTAGATTGTTTGTTTTGGCTTGTTAGCTACGTTTCGGTGTCATCTTCAGTGGACGCTTTATGCGATGAAAGCAGGACCAAACAGAAATAATCAAATTGCAGATTCCGAAGACCTCAAGAAAAAGTCTAACGACGTCGAAAGTATAATCAATTATTTGGTCCGGTCAACCTGGTCCACCTGGCTGACAATTCCTACCGAAGATAAAAAGTATTTATTGTAAATCAGCTAGAAAGTCGGACCGAAGAAAAGTATCTACTAGTATTGACGATAAATCCAATGGTTTAGTTTTCTATTTTCGCTTGTTTTGCATGTCAGATATGTTCCGGCTTATCATCTTTTGTACTGGTTCAGAGCAAAACAACGAGGAGCGGACTAATGGTCGAAAATAATCGAACTCAACGTTCATCCGAAGACCTCAAGACAAAGTTGTGTTAAAAATTATAATAAAATTATAAAATTATACAACCTGATCGACACTTTTCTTTGTCCGTCTGTTCTCGCTGGTTTACAGTTCTTATAAGCGTTTTACATTCAGTCAGTATTCTGATAGTTACGCAGTATAAAATCTGTGCTTGTGACGATATCGTAAAATAAACGAGCTTTTGATTAAATTAACTTTCTTCGTTATTTTTTGTCGTTGTTTCTGAACATATTTTCCAAGTAGATCCAATACGAATGTTTCAAATATTTTGGTCATTTTTGAAGATTTCTTTATTAGTAGTTGAAAATTGTATGCCCGGTGCTTTACCTGAAACGGAGGTCACCTTGAAATCTGGTGCCTACTTTCAGCTCTTACGTCTTGGACACGAATCAAGGCATAGGAGGAAAAGGAATGTGGCGCCAGTCAAGTGAACACCTGAGACAGTCCGGTCCGAGGCAACTCGACCCGTTCCCCCGTCCTCATCACAATGAGTCGCCGGCCTCGTAGAACGTCGGTCGAACGCCTTTACCGGCCCGTCCGGCTTCGCTGTTCGCCCTGTCGAGTTTCCCTTTCCGCCGGACTCCCGGGTCCTTTGTTTTGGTCCCGTTTTCGTCCGACCGGGTCTGTACCGACGGCCACCTAAGTCATGGGAAAAATGCTGGACGCCCCATCGAGATTCCCATCGGCGTCAATCCAGATCCACGCCCTAATCCCGCCGGTGGACCGTTAAATGTAGTGACAAATGACAAAATCCCGTTTTCGAAAGATGACAGAGGAATGATGCATTTAAAAAATGTAATATTTATTTCGACCACGGCCAGTCCCAACCCGGAAACGTCATCTCGGTCATTTCCAATCAAACATTCATAATAAATGACATCTAATAAACGACTTGCCGCATTTTTTCCCGCATAGTCACAATTGCATTCAATGATTTATAAATAAAACAGGAAAGATTTTTCCCATTAGAATTCTTACTCAATAACAACATACAACAAAATCACAATAAGTTTAATGTGGGGTGATTAGTGATTTCTAAATAAACAAGTTTAATATTACTTAATTCATTTCTAAATTTTGTACGTGTTTGTGAGTAAATGAGCGTGGGAGGGGGAGAGGGGGGGAGAGAGAGAGAGTGAGAGAGTGAGTGAGAGAGAGAGAGAGAGTGAGAGAGTGAGAGAGAGAGAGAAAGGGAGAGAGATGGCTGAATATTTTTGTTTGTCCCACTGTGCATTTAGATGGCTTGCGAGAGTGAGTGAGTGAGTGAGTGTATGTGTATGTGTATGTGTATGTGTGTGTGTGTGTGTGTGCGCGCGCGTGTGTGAGAGAGAGAGAGAGAAAGAGAGATGGATGAATGTTTTTGTTTGTCCCACTGTGCATTTTGATGGCTTGAGTGAGTGTGTGTGTGAGAGAGAGAGAGAAAAAGGGAGAGAGAGAAAGGAGAAAGAGAGAGAGAGAGATGGATGAATGTTTTTGTTTGTCCCACTGTGCATTTTGATGGCTTGAGTGAGTGTGAGTGTGAGTGTGAGTGTGAGTGTGTGTGTGTGTGTGTGTGTGTGTGTGTGTGTGTGTGTGTGTGTGTGTGTGTGTGTGTGTGTGTGTGTGTGTGTGTGAGAGAGAGAGAGAGAGAGAGAGAGAGAATGAGAGATTCTTCTTTGTTTATTCTTGTGTTAAACGTGTTTGTGAGTGTGTTTGAATGTTGATGTTCGCGTGTAGGGCAATACTTTGTCTTGCAGTGCTTGTGTTTGTTTATGCAAGTGTTTGAATGTTGGTTTAATTACCATTTTTTGTCTCTGAACGGGAGCTTGAGCGTACATGTATGGACTTCTATTTGTGAACTTACCTGTTGTTTTTTATTTTGGGTGTGAGAAAGCGATTGTATTTGTAAGTTTTTTGTTTACCTGTGTTGGTGCCTGTTGCAGTGGATTTGTCGTACGTCTTTCTTTATATTTGTGTGCTTTGTAAACATGAACAAGCAATTGTGAATATTTATGATTGTGTCTCTAAGTGGATTTGAATCTGTATGCGTCAATCCATATTTGTTTATTTGTGTTTGAATATCTCTGTTTATGAGTAATGTGTTCGAAAGTAGTTTTGTGCGTGTCTTGTTTTTTTTATTAGTGCGTTTGAATGTATGGGTTTTTTGTTTGTTTATTAGTTAGTCGAATGTCTGAATCTTTGATTTTGTATTCGACTGTTTACCTGTTTTTGCTTGAATGTGGGTTTGTGCGTGAATATGCGGGCTTTTGTTTGTTTCTTTACCTGTCTGGTTTGTTTCGTTATGTGGTGTAAACGATTTTGTGGGTGACTGTGTGAGCCTTTATTTGAACGTGTTAGTAATCGTGCGTGTTTGTTTAGGTATGAGTGATTCTTATTTATTTTCCACCTGTTTGTTCATGCGAGTGTTTTTGTCCGCGTATATGTGGGCTTTAATTTCAACTTGTGCTTTTCTTATATCTCCTCGTGCTCTTCACACCTCGGATAATTACGGCGCGAATCAAACCTTTCGTGCTTTTTTTTTCTTTTTTTTAGGTCTTTCCAATTTCGCTTTTTTTCCTTTTTTTATAGATAAGAGATGCAATCCGGCTTTAACTAGTTTTCATTTTTTTTATTCATGCATAACCATACCCAAATGACACATAATTGCCGGTTACTGATATGACTCAACGGTCAAACTTGATGTTAAAAAAATTCAAGCTCAACAAACATCCCGGAGACGATAAATAAAATCTGGTCCGCCTCTCCTCGCTGTTTACAGTAAACAATTGCGGGAATACATCTTTTATGTTCATTTTTTAGCAAGTTAATTATGAACATTTCTATCAGTTTTTTATTAAAGTTTCGACCTAGCGGTATTCATGATCAACTTTTTTTTAATAAATTAAGAAGTCTGTAAAAAAGACCCCTGGAATTAAGTCCTTTAGGGTCCTAACAATTAGCTACATTATTAACCAACTTAAACTTATAATCCCAATTAGTTTTTTTTTTAAACAAATATTAATATTTTTTTACATACATTGAACAATAGTTAATTAAATTGTCACTCACACGGCCTTCAGACGGAATCCTGTTTGGCTGCATATTTCATGTTTCACCATAATGTTCAATTAGAGCAAACCCATGCAGATCATCATCAGTTCTGCATTAACCATCTTGATGCTAAACTTTATGCTTTTTTATCATTTAAAACCTACAAAAAATTTTAACTACAATAAAATTATGTAATCTGGAACTAGCTAAGTGCTAGTACCTCATTTGAAGTATGATGCTGCCATCTCTTGAGAAGTAGAATGAATAATTCTGTACATTGCTTATCCTCTTCATGTATGATTATCTTGTGGTCATTAACGATCAACTAGAGAACATTTTTAATTAATTCAAATAGGTTTGAAAAATTGCAATTCTTTGGTGTAATCAAGTATACAAGATGATCGTTTATGCAAATGATTATTGATCGTGGAATATGTGAAAATTCCACGCGCTTAAGTCAAACCTCAATTACTTTTATAGATTATGCTAGAAAATTTTTGATAAATTTGTCTATTAAAAAAAATTTCTTTTCTTCTTTTCACTGATGATTTCTGCCAATAAAATTGTATTTTAAACAATTTTTTCTTGTGTTTTTAGGCCTACAACCTAAAAAGTATTTTTAAGTTTTAAAATTCAGGATGTATTGGCCGTAATGGGAGTAAGTAGGTGAGGATCATAACTCAATTTGCTCATTAAATCATACACAATTTACATCATTATACAAAATGTGTTTGTTTAGGAAAAGGTGAAAAGTTTTATTGTTTGTATAAATTTTTAACTGCTGTTCTTGTCGACTCGAAAACCCCGTCTGTGAGTTGCCAAAGCATATCCGCGAGCTCCTCCTCGGTCGACTCGTCGAACAACTTTTTATCATTGAGTGGGAAATGGCCGAAGAGCTCGCACAGAGCAAAATTCTGAGTACTGATGTCTTTGCATCCTGTAAAAATTTACAAAAATAACCAAGAGATAAACTTCAATTTGGGCATTTTTTCGACATACCAGATGCAGACGTTCTGGGCCATACATAAATCCTAACGCAGTCGTACACCGTTGAATCATTCCTTTCAAAACTCGTGCCCCTCGTCATGATCAAATTGTGTGCAATGTTGTTCTCATTTAAATAATTTGTTAGTTTAACAACATCCCTTGTGGGAGTTAAAAAATTGAATTAACCATTTTGTAAAGCTATTAAACATACACAAAAATAAAACATACTCTATTATTATATCAATATCACGAGGCGATTTTATCTGAAATACATATCCTTTAGATGGGAAAGTATCTTGGAAGTAACAATTTCCTGATAAATGTTTCACAGGCTGAAAAAATGAATTTAATAAAGATTAAACAAAAATATTAGCAAAATGATTATCATATTTTTTTTTATATTATAGTTCAGGATAGGATTCTTTTTTTCTTTTTTTTTTTTGCAATTGTAAAAAAAATCGACTCATGTACAAAACTTACAACTGTTTCTAACACCATCTGCTTGTTCAGGTAGTAAATGTGAAAATGTAGATGGTTGATCGATGCATAGGCACACAGCCCGTTGAATCCTACCCTGAGAAACCTGCAGTAAATGGCTGTTGGCGAGTGGTTTTTTTTTTTTAAGTCGTTCATCGAGGAAAATGTTTTCTGATACTTACGGTACCGAGCTGGACAAGATGACGCCGATTGAAAACCGCAGTCCGTTGCCCGTCACGACCTGTGGCTGCTTTTTGTGCATATCGGGTAAAAGGAGCGAGTGTGCCTTGTCGATCGGGCTGTCGTTTATCGCAATATAATTGTACATGTCATCTGCGAAATGAGTGTCATTCAATATGCTGTAATTTGTTGCAGAGCCATCACGAAATTGGCAAAATGATAAGCAACAGGTATGACACAGACACAATTTCAGGTTCATGGCACCTGGCAAGATGGAGAAATTTCACAACTGGGCTCTTATTAACAAAATATAAACTTCTCAGTAGTTTTTCACCAACACCTTCTAAATATACGTGCTGTCTAGATTTCATGACACATTGAAGATGTTGAAATGCTTAAGCGCATCTGACAGACAACTTGATAAGGATAGGGCAGGCTAAAATAATTGGTAATGACAAAATTACGGGTTCATCACTCACAAACAAATGGAAAAATATAACCTATGAATGTTTGAGCGAAATAAGAAATTTAAACAGATTCAAATGGAATATTCTATTTGGTTTATCTGCTGCATTTAGCCTGGATTATCAATTTTTAATAACTATACTCTGTTCAATGCCAAAAATGTCTCAGCACAACTAAATTTGTTGTCTGATCATAAATCATACTTAAAACTTAAGTGCTGTAAGATAAAAACAGGTAGGACCTCCGTTTTTAATCTGGAATATGAACTCGTCAGGTTTGAGCTTCGTGAAGTTGAACTTGTCCGGATCGAAGGGCTGAGACGTGTTCTCGATGAGCTCCGGCTTTCTCCGCTTAGCAGAACGAAGCGGGTTCAGCTGTAGTACGAAGCCAAACTTGTCGCCGAGGACCTTCTCCTCCTCGATTTTCCAAATATAGCGAAAGAGGCCGAGCGACATTTTGCCGTCCCACGCTGTCACGAGGGCCTTGTCGAAATCAGACGGTTCGCTCTTCTCCGGGTCAATGGAGAATACGAACCGGTCTGGGTTCAACTCAAAACTTCCCATATCCAATAAAACTGAAAAATATATCAATTCACGTCAATAAAACTGTCATATATCTACACAATTTACATGAATAAAAAAATTTACTTTACCCAATCACTCCAGTATCTGTCAGTGTGAACTGTCAAATGTATTGTAGAATGAAATTTAATGACCACGTGGGTAACCTGACAATAACCTCTACATGTTGAAACATCGTGACGTCATAAAATGAGCAATTATAAATCATGCTAAAATAAGTTCAAAATAATTTTCAAATGAATATTTATTTACGTGAAAATATTAATGCCGTTTTTTATAAAACACGTTATGAAAAAAAATCATTCACATTGAATACAAGTAAATTTATTTTTATTTAATCATTCGTTGGTTGCCCTGAGCTTTTAAAGCAGTTAAAACTTCTATGATCAGATTTTTTACTACGAAATGAACAATTATTTCACAATAGAATATTTAATGACAAGGAAATAATAATAATAAAATGTCATCGTCATCTTTTATAAATCGTCATTTGGGGTCTGGGATACTTCTGTTTTTAGTTGCTCTCAATTACCCTGTCAATAAACTTTCCTTAGCTGACCAGCGCAAAGAGTTTGATACTTTACTTTTTAAATCTTTTTATTTTGTTTAATGTTGTTGATTTTTAAAGTAACATCAAGTACCAGAATATTTTTCGTGACGTCTGTATTGAAGTATTGTGTAAACATTTTATAACCAGCGAGGAAGTTATAGTAACACTGCTAGGGCCGGTCACGTTCACAAGCCAGACTGGTGTCCTGTATTTTTTATCTATTTATTTATTTTTTTTATAGAAAAATGGTGAAAATAAGCAATTTCCTTCAGTTCGAAGGTAGCAATTTTATGCGGCAGAGGCTCATATTGTCAGTGCTGACTGGCAAGTCCATCACAATTAAAAAAATAAGGTCTAATGAAATGGAGCCAGGTCTTAGAGGTGAGTGTTGTTCGGTTTTTACGATCCAGCCGAATTTTACCTTCTTTTTTTTTTCTTCAGAATATGAAGTAAATCTTTTGAGGCTTATTGATAAAATGACAAATGGTACATGGCTGGAGGTGAATGAGACAGGCACCGAGTTCTCATTCACTCCTGGATCCTTGATCGGAGGCCCTTTGGAGCACGAGTGCTGCAAACTCCGTGGCATCGGTTACTACTTGGAAGTCGTATTCGCCCTGGCGCCTTTTTGCAAGGTTGCGCTGAGTATTACGCTCAAAGGGGTGACAAACAACCAGGTATGCTTTCGTCCCGCACCTCATACGAGTCAATATTCGTCAATATATACATATTGACAGCTTTAATTTCAGGTCGACCCATCAGTTGATGCGTTCAAACACGGGGCTGTCAGCGTTTTGAAAAAATTCATAGTCGTTGACCCTGGAATCGAAATGCAGATTAAGAAGCGAGGAATGGAACCGGAAGGCGGAGGAGAAATTTATTTCCACTGCCCCATTGTCAAATTAAAAGCTATACAGGTATTAAAAATCATTTCAGACACTCACTCACATGCATTCACTTTGTTTCACTTGTACTCTCACTTATCACTAACCGCATTCATTCAGTCTTTTACTTTTGCATTCCCTTAGTTGGTTCGTCACTAGTTCTCCCACTTACTCATTGAGTCAGTCATGCATTCACTTGTCACCCATTCACCTGGTTATTTACTTACTTGTGTAGTTACTAATTCATTTTCTTAGTCTGTAAATCGCTCAGCAGCTAAATTCACATCACATGAACATCAGTTACTTACTCATGCATTAACTCACTCAGTCACCAACTCAATCAATCAATACATTCACTTAGTTTGACACTCGATCACTCATTCACTCACTATGCTCAGTAACTCGCTCATGCATTGACTTAGTCACTCACATATGCATTTTCTAAATAGCTCTCACAGTTCTCCCTGACCCCATGCTGAACTCAGAAGTGAAATGCCGTAGTCCTGATGGTAGTGTTGGATATAACACTTATTTACTCATGCAGTAACTCAGTCACTCATTCAATCACTTATTCACTTACTCATGCAGTAACTCACTAACTCAGTCACTCGTTCAATCACTTATTCATGCAGTAGCTCACTAACTCAGTCACTCGTTCAATCACTTATTCATTCAGTAACTCACTAACTCTGTCACTCGTTCAATCACTTATTCATGCAGTAACTCACTAGCTCAGTCACTCGTTCAATCACTTATTCATGCAGTAACTCACTAACTCAGTCACTCGTTCAATCACTTATTCATGCAGTAACTCAGTCATTCATTCAATCACTTATTCACTTACTCAAGCAGTAACTCACTAATTCACTCAGTCACTCATTCATTGGTCTGTTCAGTCATTAACTCGCTCACTTATTTTGGTTAGTTAACTTTTTACATATGCATATATTTATCTATCTTTCATGCATGCATAAATGCAGTTGTTTTTTTTTTTTTTTTTAGATGAAAGATATGGGTAAGGTGAAGAAAGTCAGGGGGACTGCTTATGCCGTGAAAGTGTCACCTGTCCTCGCCAATAGGTTCATCGAGACAGCAAAGGGTGAAATGATCCGTTTCATACCCAACGTCTTTATAACGTCAGATTTCCTCAAAGGTCAGAACGGCGGTAAGTCACCAGGCTTCGGAGGCTGCCTTACCGCAGAGACCACGACAGGCGTGATCCTGACAGCAGAAAAGACCACACCGCCGCCTCCGGGTCAGAGGCAGACACCGGAAGACATGGGCAAGACAACCGCCTGGCTCCTTCTCGAGGAGATTGCCCGCGGCGGTCTCGTCGACTCCTCGTTCCAATCCCTCGCCTGCCTTTTCATCGCATTCGGCCAGAAAGACGTTACGCAGCTCGTCGTCGGCCCTCTCTCCCCTTACACGTAATAACAAACAACTAATAAATATATATCTTTTTTTATTTGCTCTTTATTTGAGATTTTTCATCCAAAGCAGTACTCGTCTGTGGAGTCGTCTGAAATAACACAATTAATATTCTGTTTTAGAATCGAGCTTTTAAGACACCTAAGGAAATTCATGGGGCTGACATTCAAGCTGGATCCCTACGTTGAAGACGAAGACGAAGATCAGGGGGTTGGATCAAATAAAGTTTTAATTACAGGAGTAGGAATTGGGTACAATAGATTTGCCTAACTCTTGTTTTTATTTTATGTTTAAATTTGTATATTTTTATATATAGATTATTCTGTAAATATAAATTTGTAAATAAAATATTTTATATTGTCTTGGTTATTTTCTCCCAAATGTCTAAAAAATAGTATACCCAAAACAATTTCAGGATTAAAAATTTCTTTTACCTTATTTTTATTTTCTTCTGCTTCTTTGTTCTTTGCTTCTTCGGCTTCTAGCTCTTCCTTAGTTTTCTCTTTTCCTATGTAGAGTTTTTGGCACAAGGCAGGATTTGCGACATCACGTTCGTGGCAGGTGCATTTCCTCCTCTTTTTTTCCAGGTTCGATATAGGGGGTCCCTTTCTAAAAATTAAATTGAAGCAATTTAGTAAAAATTAAGAGAAAATTGTTTAAATTTGTATATATATTTTAATGAAAAATAAAAATCTTCAATGACTTACAATTAAAAATCAACTAAACAAAACACAGAAGAAAAAAACAATTATTTATTTTTTTCTTTTTTGTCCCTTGATATTGTAGCGATACAATCGCAGCCAACATCAGGAGAACACTGCTCATTGACTCTCTTCCACTTCCCGCGCCTTATTTTATCGAGGGAAAGTCTAAAAAAATATTATAAACATGAAGATTTTTATCGACTGGCCGAGGCTGATTTTTTGAAAACTCACGGCAGCTCGAGTTCGACTGGATTCTTAACCGACTGGCTTGATTTGCTCCTCCTCGACCTGCTACTAGACGATGGTTTCTTCTTCTTGTTCCCGCTCGATTTTCTCTTTCCCTCCGAGCTCTTCTTCTTGTCCTTTTTCCCTTTTACCTTCTTCGCCTCCATCTGCGCCAACCAACTTGCCTATTCAACCAGGAAAAAGCCTAGAATAATTTTAAAAAAAATATTTTTCTTCTGCAACTACTCAATGAAAAAATATAAGACTTACGGACAAAGCTTGTTGAAAAATCAGAGCATGTTTATCTAATGAGTCATTCCATTTTTACACCCACATGTTTATTTTTTATGATTACTTTTTTTTTAAACAGGATTAATGATGGTCATCATATGTTAGATATTTGATGTATTCCATACCAAAGCAGAGGGACAAGGAGGCCGATAAATTGACAAAGGAAAGTCGATCAGGACAACCTGAATCCTTTTGCAGCATTCCAAATTGCTGTAAGCATAGATCTGGGTTAAGAATAAGTCCTCAGTTCAATGAGAATATTCTAGTAAAGAACTAGTAAACTTAGAACTAGAATGATAGTGTAATCCAGTCTTAGCATAAGTTAGGAATACCTGCTAAACTAAGTTTAAAATAGTTTTAAGGAATGTCAACCATATAGTAGAAATAAGGCCGTAAATCAGAGTTGACCACCCACAGGTAGCAAAGAGTCGTTTCCCACAGACCTGGAGGTCATAGAAACGTGATAGTTAAATAGTCTGCTAAATAATGAAAGTTAAAGAGTATTTAGTGTGAGGTTGTCCCAGACAGAGTTCATCCAGCTGTGTGACACTATAAATTTGGGGTCATATACATTTTGCCAGACATCTAGCAGTGTGGAACCAGGTGTCTGTGTAATGTAAACTCCACCAGATATGGCACAACAGTTTTGCTTTTCCTTTCCTTCAGTATAAATGATGATTTGTAAAGCAAAGTCAGTTCACTCGAGGTCTCAATCGATGGCTTACAGGTTGAAGGCAGTGGCCAAGGCACAATGTCGGTTTGAGTGTCTTGAAAGCAGGGGACAAGAGGATGGTTAGGGAGGACAGACTCGGTCAGCCAAAGTTGGTGACTCAGTGACAGCACTCAGTCAACTCAAAGACTCCGACTGGGACTTAGCCAGCAATGATCAGCCATTGTGACAAGTCAATTGTCAAGGACCGATGAGGCTGAAGGAACAAGATGCTGGATTATGTGCTGCAATTGGTGAGCATCGTTTGGAGTAAGCTTTCTTGTGAATAAGCTCATCCCAGGATTAGAGTAGTGGCTGACTTGCCTTGATGGGTTGACTTTCTGTTTAATTAGTATGTTATTAAGACGGGCTGGTGTAACAATAAATGTTTCCTTGTACATCTCTGGTTTATTGTATTTTTAGAACCTACCTTCCCTCCACACAAAAAATATAAGGTGAATGTTCTCGCTTAGCAATAAGCACTGAGCATCAGCTAACACAAATAATAGTCTGGAGATTCTGGAAGCTTGTGGTCTCCAGATTTTCCTTATAATTAGTTCTCCAGTATGGACAAGGATATAAAATATCCTCATATAATCTGAGCTTGAAACTCTTAAATACAAATTCAGCCTTTACATCATCCAAGTGATAGAAATCAATGAGTCAAATTTTGGCAGCCACCCATGATAGGTAATGGCAGACTATACTAAAATTCAGAGCTCCTTTAATTAGTCATATTCATTTTATCCATGGTGTATGTGGAAAAATTACTAAAAGAAGACCTAACACATTATTAGATCCTGCTCAAAATGCTTTATCAAACCTGAAGACTGCTCGAGCCACCAAGAACCCAGATAACCTCACAATTGACAAAAAATACATGATACTGAATGAAAAGGCAGAATTGTACAAGAATCTGTGCAATTTCATTAAAAACTATGTTAAAACTGTGTAACTGTTGGATTTTCTATATACATTCATTAAAAAAATCTCTGAACACCCACTGGTTAGCCCAAAATACACCTTTCCAAATTTTTTAATATGTCATTGGATATAAAAACATTATTTTTGTAAATCTCAACATATTATTTAAAAGCTTTTCAATATTAAAGAACAATAACTGTGAATATGTTAATCAAGAGGCAAAAAAGTACCTGAACACCTAGGCAAACAATTTTGTTTTTCAAAGTTTACTGCCTTCGGTTTGATTCTTTGTTAATTTGAGCAATATTATCTTTATAGCAATCATGTTTTTTAGTATTATATTAACGTTCAATATTGAAATACCGTAGTCCATTAGTTACTAATTGTTAGAATGGATAATGAAGGAAATTACTTTCTTAAGCAACCCTCAACACACATCATCTTCCAGTATAAGAAGCTTGCTAATGCTAAGAATATACTGCATTTAGACGTGCAGAAAAATTAAGCCATCCAAATCCCAGAAAAAAGAACAAGTCCCCCCCCATTGCAGGTATTCTGTATCAGGATTGCTCCAAACAGAACAAAATACTATTTTTAAAAAATGTAAGAAGGAAGAATGTTATATATAAGCAAGAACAATAGAGAAAAGAGCATATAGTTTGCTAAAGAGCATTTAAGTAAGCCTGATTTTGTGAGACGTTTATTTTCACTGATTATAGCAAATTTAATGTCTGAAGGAATGTGGTATAAGCCAGGGACACTTGGGGGGAAATTAAAGAATACACTACCGAATGTTTAAAGTTGGGGCAGTGGTGTTTGTGTGGGACTGCATGGGTTATAGAGGAATTGGCAATTTATATATTACTGATCATAGTCCAACACATCTAGATTGATGCCCTAAAACAGAATTTAAAGGAAAACACTATTAAATTGGGTATAGAAAGGATTTTCCTTTTCCAGCAAGACCACGCCGAATACATGGTACGGAAAACTCAGGAATGGCTACTATATAGCTTAGGCAGTTCCATATCACTCAATTTAAACAATATTGAGCACTTCTTGGATCATATTGAAAGGCAGCTCAAAAAAAAAGAAGATTAAAAACAAAAATCATCTAAAAGAAGGGATTTTACAGGAGTGTACTAACACATCCCCAGACATGACAAAAAACTAGTTCCGTCAATGATAAACCATTTATTAGTGGTAATAAAAAGTAGGGGTTGACCTATAGACTACTGGGATAAAATTTAGATGTGTCAGTAAATAAAAAAATGAAAAATAATGTATCCAGAGATTTTTTTACTGACTGTATGATTTAAGAAGTTGAAAGAGTATAATAAAAATAATAAAAAATAAAACATATATATTGTACTATCATATATCCGTATCGTTACATATATATGACATTAAACGATATCATTACACCATAAAGTTTGATTTTTATTATTTTTATTGAAAATTGAAGTTGACGTTGTAAAGTTTAAAAATTGGCGGTTGAGGGAAATTCGTGGCTGGTTTTCGAGGCTGGATGAATCGATGTGGGACGTGGGTTATCATGTCCAATACCAACAAGCAGCTTTCACTGGTGAAACTTTCCGTACTCCAGACCTACTAAAGCTCTCGCGTCATGTCGTAGTGTTCAAAGCTGGTAAAAGCATCGCTTTCTTACTTCGGTGATGTTCAAAGGAGCCGAACATCAGGAGCATAAAACATAAATCATGGAGGAATGGACTGTGTTGATCCTCCTGTCAGTTGTCATGCTGGTGGGCAGCTACTTAGTCGGTTCTATACCACTTGTCATGCAGATGTCAGAGGTAAAGAAGAAAATTACTGGTTGGGTTTTATATTAAAGGAGGTTTTTATTTAAAAAGGCGAAGCTGCAGTTGGTATCGGTGTTTGGCGCAGGGTTGCTGGTCGGTACTGCGCTGTCTGTCATAATACCGGAGGGCATAAGGGCCCTCTTTGCTTCTGTCAAGCCAGCCAGTATGTATGTCTGTTAAACAGACATAAATTTTCTTTTAAAACCTTGCATATCGATTCTAGTCATTTCTATGCAATGTTGGCAGAAGGGGATGGGACTGGTTTACCAATGGGACACGAAGGCGACCTGCATTCAGCAATCGGACTGTCATTAGTGCTCGGCTTTGTAATAATGCTGCTCATCGACCAGGTTTTCACTTCGCACACTAGAGGTATTCTATTTAACACCTTCGCAGGCTGTATTTACGGATTTTTTGTTTGAAGATGTAGAAGGCGGAGGTGGAAAGCCGAAGTTGACGGCGACAGTCGGCCTGCTCGTACATTCCGCAGTCGACGGGGTTGCGCTAGGCGCAGCCGCAACGACGACTCACACTGAAGTCGAGCTGATCGTCTTCGTAGCGATCATGCTGCACAAAGCTCCCGCGGCTTTCGGACTCGTCTCATTTCTCATGCATGAAGGCCTCGACAGGAAACGTATCAAAAGGCACCTTCTCATTTTCTCCCTTTCTGCTCCTATAATGTCTCTATTCACTTATTTCTGTATAAGTCAGGTAATTATAAACAAACAAACATTATTATCCTTAACAAATCATGCTATTTGTATTACAGGAAGGAAAGGAAAAGCTCTCGATGTTAAACGCGACCGGGATCGCTATGCTATTTTCCGCTGGTACGTTTCTTTACGTTGCGACCGTACATGTCCTGCCAGAGCTGGCTGCCCGAGCCGGAGGCTCTTTTCGGCCGAGGCAGCTTTGCGCGCTTATACTGGGCACGCTGCTCCCTCTTGTCATGTCCGTTGGGCATCACCATTAACAAACAATAAAATATTTATTTAAAAAAAAAGTATAAATTGTGATTTTTATTATCAATTTAATAATTGTACATTGTAAATAATGTTATATGGTGATATATATTATACATAATTATTATATATTGTATATAATATTATTACAAATTTTATTTAAGACTGGCGTTAGTCAAACAAACGATATTGTTTTTGAAACTGCTGCTGTATTTTTTATTTAATTTAACAAATCATTGTAATATCAAAAATAAACTTCCAATTTTTTTTCTACGTCTTTTTATATTTTGATTTCAGCCGAGTGGTGAAAACCCCGAAAGGACTGTAGCGATGAAAGTTATAAGCTTTGGGTTGACTTAAGATTTTAAAACACACTTGAAAGCACACATGCTTACTCAACTAGCTGTTATGTTTCTTCGTACTTAACTAAACCAAATTCGACTTATGATTTGGTCATTACTGATCATTTCGGTTTGCCTATTTTCTCTAGGTCTGTCAAATTTCAGATGGCAATATGATTACCAACATAACTGAAGCATCCAATGCGTTTTCAAACTAATGTCAGAGTTCACAGGGAGCTAAGAAGAGGAACGCCGATAAGGGAATGCCCAGGACTCAAGTAATCCTGGCCATCATTCGGGTCTTAAGGGAGTGAACACAGTGGTCGATTATTAAGTACTGCTTCGATGCGGTACAACAAGGACAAGAATTAATCGAATGTTAGAGGCATTTCTCCAACCTTCTTAGTGAAAAGAGCACTTTTGACTCCGACCTCCCAAATACCATCAAAATTTGGGGATGCAGGTGAGTTGGATCCCCTGGTGATACCCAGGGAAGCTCAGTGAGTGGATAACTCATTGTGGTGACTGGCGAGAAACACAATTGCCTGTTTGATGTAATAGAGACGCCTACTAATTTTCTTCCCCAGTCAGAGAAAATCTGGGATGGCAAACACATCTTGCAGTGAATCGGTCAAGGGAAGCCAAAAACATTGGGTGGACATGTCAGACATAGGCTCTAGGTGAACCGATTTTGTATTCATGCATATGAATAACACCATATACCCTTTACCTACTGGAGAATTAGGTTTGAGGCTGAATTTAATATAGAATGGTCCCGCCAAATCGACTACAGTAGATGAAAACGGTCGAGAGGGTCTTAACTTTAAATCTGTCAATTTATTACCCAAACAAACAAAACTAAAAATTAACATGCAAGATTATTATTCAGATATCGTGGGATGTGGTCGGGTGTGATGTGGGTTTTTCAAAAAACATTTTCTTTATCGTGCCAACGTTTCGATCTTTTATTGAGATCATCTTCACGGCTCAACGTGTTTGTCTTCTGTGTAATTGTGCCATCCTTGTGTGTCGTGTTGAGACTCTGATTAACGGTCACTAATCTCTACACATGCAAGATTATCTTGGTCCTTGATCAAACTTTCCAAGTGTAATGCGACTTCCAACTTAACCGTATAACCTGTCTAACCTTAAAAGTATGTACTTAAGGAGGGACTTGACTAAATCTGTTAGTTTGTTATTCAAACTAAACAAAATTTAACATGCAAGATTTAAAAATTAACAAACATGGAAATGTGAACTTATTTAGGAATTAGATCTAGTTTCCGAGTAGTAACATGACTACCAACTTAATAGCATAACTAAACGTTCAAAGTGGTTATATACTGATAGACATACGTATAAATATGTTGATTTTGACCTAAACTGTCCAAACTTGAAATAGTGTGCTTATTTTGGGACTTAATAAAGTTTCAGTGTGTCATATGACAACCCACTTAATTACCAATCGTATATGTTTAGTAGTCATAATTGACTGTATTAATTATTTTAATTGATTATACTTTTTATCTAAGGTCTTGGTTGAGGTGAAAAAGTTAGTGTCAAGAGTGGGATTTGAACCCACAACCTTGGGCACAACACGCTGCTGCTCTAACCTGTTGTGATCATTTGTTTGTGTGTTTTTGCTGTTCACGGTATAAACCTCTTACAGCTATTACTTAATTAAATGATTATTAAGATGGTCATTTTACTTGTTTTCTTTAACATTAATTACTTTTCAGTAATCATTTTATATACTTTTTTTTTTTAATCACAACAGGTCCCTTACACAGATCTTTAGCCGTTATAAGGAAATCATAACGTTACCGGGATGGACCGCTTGGCGGCGATTTGGTTTTATAGGGATTTATTATTCTATATTTCTTAATAAAAGTAACCTGGTAAAATAATTGAACGTTTAAGTTAACAATTTCAAACCAACAATTTGAGATAAATGATTTAACCAATTTAGCTGCTGCTCTAACCATTTGAACAATCGTGACTGCGATCCGCTTGGACATCATCTCCTCATCTCAACCCACAACCTTTTGAATTTTACCTCTTTTTGCCATATTTTCAAAATCGTGTAATCAGGATATTTTTTATCTAAGGTTTTGGTTGCAATGAAAAAGTTAGTGTCACGAGTAGAAATCAAACCCACTGACTTTATCTAGCATTTGATAGTTTCCAAGTGCAACACGACTCCCAACTTAACTGAATTATTTATGATTCTTAAAAGCACGTTCTTACGGAGGGACTTAATTATAAATCTGTCACTTTTTACTCAAACAAAACAAAATTTTCCATGGAAGATGTAAAACTGTAAAAACATGAAAGGATGACCTTATCTAGATACCCGAACAAGTTTCCGAATGTAATGTGATTACCAACTTTACTGATTAACTAGTAAAAAAAGCAGTACTTACGGAGGGACTTAATTATAAATCTGTCAATTTTAACTCTTACTAAACAAAATTTAACATGCGAGACATAAATCTGTGCAAACTTGAAAGAATGTGCTCCAATTAAGGAGTTAATCAAATTTCCTAGTGTAATATACTACCAACCAATTATTGAAATAGCCTATCTCATCTTAAAAGCATACACTTACTGGAGGACTTAATTGTAAACTTGTAAAACTTTTACTTATACCACTGTTTGATTTAAATGAAATTCTATAACCTATTTAATCTGGAAAAAGTGCTTACTGTATGAAAATAAAACAGCAAAATTTTTTCTTACAACATAAACGTTTGACTTAGCCAGAGATCTATAACTTGACTAGACTTAAAAGCATGTACTTACCATGGGACTTAATTATAATACTGTAAAATATTTACTCGTACTGCCATTCAACTTACCAACATCTATAACTCCTTTAATCTAGAAGGCGTGTACTTACTGTCCTAATAATAAAGCACTAAGTTCTTTACTTACGAGTATGGCCTGAATTAGCCGAAGATCTACAACTTCCCTGGACTTAAAAACATAAAAGCATTACTTTGAGACTAAATTATAAAACAGGACTTATATTCTTAAATTTCATAAATACAACAGGTTATATATTTACACTTTCATCTAGTTTATACATTTTTTAAAACTTATTACCCTGATAAAAAAAATACAATTAATTAATAATAAATTAGGGAATTATATCAAAACTTTTAGATTTTAAAGGCTAAGTAATAAACTTAAACTTAAAATCAATGTTCATAAATGAATACATCCTTGGCCTACATGATTTACATATTTAGAAGTTAATAATTGTTTTATTTACATATCCTTCTATATTAATTTAATTTTAAAAATAAGAGAAAATAACTGTTTAGCTTTTTAATTGTAGGTAAGTTAATACTTTTCATTGGTAATCAATAGCATGATTACTTTTTATTATCCTTCTTCTCTTCTTTGTTCTCTTCTTGGTCTTTCATGTTGGTCCTTGATGAAGATTCTGAAATGGGGATGAGGGTGTCTTCATCGACGTCATGACTCATGTTCATAGTCCTCATCGGACCGTAGCCATCGTCAAGGAGTCCGATGTCCTCGTCCTCGCCCAGTTCGTCAAACACATCAGCCTCGGACTCGACCGGCTGGTCCGGCTCGTCTTTGGGGATCTCGCGCCACTCTCCGTCCTCGACATCGGTCCCGTCAGCCAGCTTGACGAGCCTCCTCCCTCTAATGATGTCGCCGTTGTAGGCAACATGGTTCTCCTCGACCCACACGTTGTCTTCCTCGTCTGTCCAGTAGACCTTGGGCTCGGGGGGCGGTGGCGCCCATGGATCCGGTTCCTCTACGACTTCGACTGTTGGTGGGAAGAACTGTTCCATCTCAACTGTACCGCTTGCTAAATCGGCGCTTATATGTAACGGGTTCATCTGCGCTAGGACCAGCATTGGATCGCTTGACATCTTTTTCAATGCCATTACCATTTTTGTTTCACTGAAAAATAAACATTATTGCAATATTTAAAAACCTAAAGTAGTAAAAAATAAAATACGCACTTCACTTTTCCTTCTCCCATTTTTTCAAGTTCGTGTATTGTTCCTGCAACTTTGATGGCTTTCTCTGGATTGATTGAGTCGAAATATCCAACATGGAGTACATCATCGGCGAAGGCTTTCGCCGTATCTAAAATTTCATGTGCTTGTTTCGCCTCAAATATTATCACATACTGAAAGCAAAAATAAAGCATTATATTCAAATAATTTCCAAGGCGTTTATTATTATTGTTATTTTTTTACTCACACTAGGTGGCGGCAGAGAGTCCATGGGCACTTCTGTTGCCTGTACCTTGGACGGGAAGCAAATAGACACAGCTGCCGATTTTGATATGTGCTCCAATGGTGTCCAGAATGGAGGAACTTTCACACCATTAATATCAGTCTCAAACATTTTGTAAACCCTTAAAATAAAATATTTTACATAAATAAAGAAAAATACTGTTAGATTTATGATAAATAAAATAAAACATTACGAGTCAGAGGAAGGTCGGAGAGGGTCCATTTTTTCACCGTAGATCATAGCCGCAAGACGTTGTTCCACTTGGTCCAAAGGCAAGTTTATAGCATTACCCGGTTGTCCTCGTTCGACAGCAAGAGCAGCCGAATCTTGGATCAAAGCTGCTATGCATGCCCTCGTGTCAGTCATTTTTAAAAGTTCTTCAGGCAAAGAAAGCCCAGAATTGTACATCATCTAATTAAATAAATTAATAAGGAAAAATCCAATATCATAAAATAAGTGACGTACGTTCATTATTTCCTCCCTGGATAACAGGATGTCCAACTGGTCGGCGATAGACAGTCCGATGTTATCGTATTTCGCCATGAGCTTGTACGAAGCTGCACAGGTCCTTTTCCCATTGGGCTCTTCTGGTTCCACAATAGAAGGAGGGAAAAATACAACTATTGTCTGCGTATTCATGACTCTTCCCAGTCTCTCATAATTCCTCAGTTTCACCTTGTCCAACTGGGCGGCTTTTCACAAAAGCAAAATTGTATAAATTAAATCTTTTAAATTTCAAAAATAGAAAAAAATGTACCCAATTCTTTCCTCTCTAGCTCGGCTTCTCTTGACTTCTTGGCTTCGATTTCATCTAACTTCTGCTGTTCGTCAGGCGTCACTTCTTCAAAGGTCATCTGGAATATGAAAATCACTTTAAATTGGTAAAAAATCTTGATTTTTTTGCTCATTTACCCCTTTTCTCTCAGACAGTCCGGCCATACACTTGACTTCTTTATCAAGCTCCCTCAGAACAGTTTTTGTGAGCATTGGCGCGTTCGAACCAAAAAGGATTCTCATCAACTGTCCACCCTGGGAAAGTAAAAATAATTTAATTATTTATAATCATAAATACATTTTTTTGTACTTACAGCAGCAATCATCCACGTGGGCTCGCTCCTTCCTTTAAACCGGCTTAATACCCGAATCGTATCCGCATTTGCCTTTCGAGAAAGAAAAATAAAATTACTCGAATCTATATATTTATTAAACTATCCAATACCAAAGCTAAATGAAACTGCTCAACACCGCTTTCGAGTTTCAGCTTCTTTAGGTTGCTCATCATCGCCAAGCATGGGCCGCACCATTCAGAGAACACGTCAATAACTAAACATATAAACATTTTATAACTATTCTGTCATAGCTGCTTAATAATAAGTACCGATAAGTCCTGGCCTTGCGAGCAGCGCGTTCCACTCTTCATCAGATTGAACTTCAACTTGGAGAGAAGTCTGTCCGCTTTTCTTCGCCATTTTCCTCGCTGTGGCGAGGCCAGTTACCTGCAGGATTAAATAATAAAAAATAAATAAAACAAATTGACTTTTGAAATTAGTTGGTTTTGTTCAATATTTTTCTAATTTCTACATTTAGCTAAGTTGACTATCCTTGGCTTATTTTCCTAATTTATTTATTTCCCTTTTGCATGGCTATTTAATCAAAGACTATCGCTTATTTTGACCATTTACTTCATTGCCTTTGCCTTTAACTTATTTCTTCATTTGCCTATGCCCACATTTGTGAAGTTTCTTATTCAGCTCATTTAATTGATTTGTTGGTTACCTGACTACTCTGTTTGCTTATTTATTACACTGGCAATGCTTGTATTAATGTATTTCCTTTCTTATACACATTTACCTTCTTATTTATTTCCTCTGTGTTTATTTCCTTTTTTCACATTTGTTTACTTACTTGGTTACCTATGTCCTTATCACTTATTCATTTCCTTTACTATATCTTCATTTGCCAAGTTTCTTCTCTTGTTTATTTCCTCTTTTGCCTGATTAACTTCACTTATTTTCCGGGCTTTCAACTACTGCTTTTTGCCTACGTATGCCATGTACTTATTTCCTTATTTGCCTATTAGTATTATACGCTTTTTTGAACAATTGATTGTTTGTCTATCGTTTTTAATCAACTATTTCATCTGACCACTTACTCTGTTTGCTTATTCACACTCATTTGTTTTAATAACTTATTCCCCCATTTGCTTACAGGAATGTGCATTTAGATTTTTATTTTTATTTTATTGTATTTTATTTTTGTTCTTGAATTGATTCTTTCCTCATTTATCTACATTGCCTAATTTTTTATAGTTGATTATTTTATTCTATTAGTTTCCTACATTGTTTTTTGACTTGTGCTCCTATATGTATATATCCACATTTCCTTATTTTCTGTCGTATCGTCTTATCTATTTACTCTTTAGACTATTTTCACTTTTGTCTATTTCCCCCACTATATTTTATACTTTTCTATTTAATTAACATCTTTTTTTTTGCTTGGGCCCTCGTTTTCTTGTCATTTGTTGGTATTTTTCTTATAATTTGCCTTGCTTCTGCCTTTTAACCAGAATTTTATGTTTTTTTATTTATGTCCTAAATTGCTCATTTGTGCTTATTGTTCCAATCGTGTTTGCTGCTACTTCCTTTGATCACCTGTTTACTTATTTCTCTATTTCGTCATTTATTTATTTACTGCCTTTTTCATTTATTCAACTGTCTATTTTTAAACATAAGCCATGACTCATTTTGTCATCCATTTGTGCCTACTGCTTCTACCTTTTGTCCACCTATTTACTTGTTTTTTCCTTTTCACCTATTTCCTTACTTCGCTTATTTCTTCTCTTATTTATTTCCTTGCTTTTCCATTTATTCAACTAATTTATTTTATTTTACTTTTTTAATCTGACTGCTGGCTAATTTTTTTCAGTTAATTTCCTGTGTTTTCCTACTACTATCCATCTACCTATTACTTATTTTTCCTATTGATTAACCTATTAAATTATTATTTTACATTACTCTATATAAGTTTAGTAGTCATAATCATAATTAATTTTATAATTTCAGGTGTTTCGAGATTAGGCCAGGACTGAGAATATGACATCTCAGAATGACCTTTATCAAGGAGCCATGTCCCTGTTAGTGCTAGAACAGCGCGGTAAGTTTGATTTTGTTTTTTAATTTTATTACGACGGTAGTGTGACTGAAAAAAATTGTTTTGTGGCGAACACTTAATTTGTAGAGTTTTAAAAATCATCGTTAAGCTGGTTTTAGTAAATTAATATAAAGTTTTACCAGGTGCTTGATTTTGGAGAAGGCTGGCGTGGAGTTTTACCTACTATGTGTAAAAATTCCCTAAAGTGCCGATTGATGGTTGGCACGGTTCGGCCCGATATTCGACTAGGTCGATTGATTTAGCCCAATCGGATAACAATTTTCTTAACACAAAAAAAAAAGAAAAAAAAAGGTAAATAAGCAAGGGACCTACCTTGGATGAGGTCATAGCTTTGATATTGCCCGCTCCAAGCGATGCTTTGTACTGCGCCACCCGCCCCCGTTTCCATGCCGGCCGGCCGTTTCGCAGGAGAACGTGTTGAATCCCCAACCCCATCAGATGTGAAGGGAAAGGGGGTGGCATTCGGGACCACTCAAAGTCCCGCTGCCATGGGGTGAATTTCGCACGATCAAGGTGAGCTACCACGACTCGATTTTTTGTCTAAAGTCTTTATGAACGGTCCACTTTCTGACTTATGGGTCCGCGAATTGTCGCTTTTTTACACGGTAAACAGTTTTAACCGCACATAAAATTATGGAGGAGGGCAAACATCAAATACGGAAATAGACAGGAAAATTTCGGATCATGGATATGAAAATATCGAAATTTTCGTAAATTTTTGAATTCAAGAATATATATCTCTTATATATCAAAGTAAATAGTAATAAATATATATCAAAGTAATGAACCTCGAACGAACGGGAGCCGGTCCGGAGGACCAACTATTCCGTTAAATACGCTCTCTTGTTTGGGAGGCATTGAGATATCAAGCCTTTTTCCATTCCAATCTTTCATGTTTGATTAATTTCTCCTGAATAAACATAAATCAGTTTAGATTGATGTCAAAATATCGAGGACTGTGAAGCAAAGCGGTCTGCAATCATCAATTTGCATGACGGTCTTATAGATTTATTCAACGTAAACAAAGTGTTTTTCAAGATCTTATTAGCGAGATAGTTTAATTTTTAAGGGAGTATCGTTATTTAGAGGTACATCGTAAAAGTTATAATTAAAATTATACCGCCCTAGGGGAAAAAGTATTATCGAGGAAACTTTCAGGTGGATAACTAGTTACCCCCAGGCCTTGGTTTTGGCGTGAAAAAGAGCTGTTAGCAAGCACGGTTATTTTTTAATTCTGCATTAAAATTAGGGTGAAACGGCCGTTTTTTCCGGGTTTGAAGACAGCGATGGGGTTTAGGGATGAAATATTGGCCCTTAAATGGCTCTAGTTGTCTAACACGGGTCTTCCCACACGGAAGGGTTACGTGATTTAGAATATTTTAGGGCACGCAAACGGTCGGCTGTAATGCGGTCTGCACGCAAAACACACGGAAAACCAATTGCCGAGGGGGAAGAATCGATTAGCGCCGTGGCCCGGAAATGTTCCTTTCAATTTGTCTTCTCTATTTATGCACAAAGTTTTGGGGATATTCTTCAACTATTCCCTTTTCGAACTGCTAAAGTTATGGCTCTGTTTGGACTGGGTCCGACGGGTCTCGCCTTGTAAACCAGCGATCGTGACATCCGAATAACTCCCAATTACCAAACTCGGATACGAACATTTGTTCCATTAAAACTTTTCGGCCCGAATATTCCGTCCAATCGTCCCGAATTTCTGTAATGTAGTATTTTGACAGTCATCCACGTGAATTACGTCTAATACAGCTAAACAAATATAGATCGTTATAACGTGAACGCCTGCAATGCGTCAAGTGGTCCTCCGGGCCGGACCATAAACCCATTTGCTTTAACAATTTACTTATTCCTTCTTGTTTAATTGACTTAGAAATGAATTAGAAACCTAGTTCTGCCTATCTCTATATTTCTTTTTATCATTTGCTGACCTCTTCTTTTTTTCTTGTTCCCACTATTACTATGGAATTTTTAATTCCCACTTAACCTTTTTGTCTATTGCTTCTGTATGCACATATGCAATTTGGAGCTTCTCAGTGGTGACTCAGGTTAACATATCGATACGGGACAACTGGACGTAAGAAACTGCCATATTCCATCTCTACTGACACTGACCGACACTGACTCACGGTCTCTGCATCTGACTCAATCTCAACTAACATTCACCGTCACTGACTCACGGTCGCTGCATCTGATTCCATCTCTACTGACACTGACCGTCACTGTTTCACGGCCTCTGCATTTTACTCCATCTCAACTGACACTGACCGTCACTGACTCACGGCCTCTGCATCTGACTCCATATCAACTGACACTGACTCACGGTCTCAGCATCTGATTCCATCTCAACTGACACTGACCGTCACTGACTCACGGTCTCTGCATCTGATTCCATCTCAACTAACACTCTGTCGGTCTTTGGTACAGGCCATAGGTTGCAAACCTTGGATGGCGAGACCTCGTAGAGAATGGGCTGTGTAGTGTGTAAGCGACTTGGGGTGGTCTTGGTATACTTTTTTCCTCGCAGGTGTTTAAGATGATACAACGTTTAGGTGTAAAGGTGGTGTGGCCTAAATACCATTTGTGTGTCCGGCAGTATAATGAGGTGTGTTAGTAAGCTTGGTAGCAAGAAACGTTGGTATTTTTCCCCCAATGTCTTAACTATTTGGCCTATTTACTAATGTCTCCGTTGATTATTTACCCTTTCGTATATACCTCCGGTTCGCGAATTTTTTCCATTTTTTTAACTCATTAACTCTTCTCTTCTCTATTTTATTTTTTGCCTGTTGTCTCATTTGCCTTTTCACTCTTTTTCCTATGGCCTTGTTAACCTATTTTCCCATTTGCCTATTGCTCTATTTCCTTATATGCATAATAGCTTTTCTACTCTTTTCTCTTATGCCTATTTCCTCACTTGCCTTTTCACTCTTTTGTTTATTACCTTGGCCTAATATCCCAATTTTCTGAATTTACGTTATTACCTTATTTCTTTATTTGCTCTTTTGACTTTCTTATTAATTTCCTTTTTTCGGTTATTTGGCTTCTGCCTTATTTACGTATTTCCTCATTTAACCATTTCTTGTAAAGGATATTACTCTTTTTGCATATTTGCACTATTGCATATACTATTATTCGTCTATTTTCTCCATTTTCTGTCAAATTCCATAACTATGTTCTGGACACCCCATTTTCTCTTTGGTTACTTCCTCTTTTCCTTTTCACATTTTTATTAGTGCTCTTATTATCATATTTTTCTAAACGTCTACATCCAGATTTGACAAATTCCCTACATTCCTAATTCTTTCTCTTGACTATTTCCTGTTATTTTTATTTGGTTACTTACTCTATTTGCGCGTTTGTTATATTTTCTATGCCTTTATGTACCGATTTCTTCGTTTCTTTTACCGGCAAACTACACTGGTCATCAGCTCTCTTTTTGTTATGCCAACTTCGCTTCTTGCATTTCTCGTATTTTAAACCTACTAATTTCTTTTTCTGTTTTTCCAGCCATGTTATGATGTATGATACAAAACCAACTCTACCTTTTCTTTATATTTCTTTATATTGTTGCACTCTCTGTTCCTCAGGATCTTGTCAATTGTGGATAAAATAGCACAAATACACAGAAACAAGATTAAAACGTAATAGTCTGGTAACCCCCCCTCCCCCGAGTAAGCGATATAACCCCCATTCACGCTAATAAATTACATTCACACATTCATTCGCACTACTCCAGAAGATTCGATATTTCACTGGGTTTTTTGATTATTTAATCAACTTTTTATTGTTTATTTGACTACTGACTGTTTTTTTTATTATTTTCTCGTTTGCCTACAACCCCTATTGGCATAATTTATCATATATTAACTCTTCAGCACAATCTCTCTTTTCTTTATTTCTAAATTTCCCTTCTTTACTCTTATATTTGCCTGTTTGCTTATTTGCTTTATTCACTTTTCCGTCCATTTCCTCTTTTGTCCAATTTTCATATTCACACATTCTTTTTCTTATTTTCAGCACTTAAATAAGTATTCTGAATTGACCAAAAAAGTTACTTTTTAAAGCACGGTTTGTCGACAGTATTCAAAGTTCGCGACGACTTAGCGAATTTTGGTGTTTCGATTAAGCCTAAGGATTAAATCTACACTTCAAGTCCTACCCGATATCCAAAACTTAGCGGCTTAAATAAACTCGAGATAGAAAAAGTAAAAAGAGAAAAAAGAATTCAAACAAAAACAAACATATTGAAAAGGGAGAAAATCAAGAGGAAATTGCCAAAATGGCTGTTTTACAAGTAAAAAAAAACCTGCCCACTTACCTTTTAATTCGAAGAGGACTTAATTGTTCAACAAAAAAAGAGGCTTAAATTAATGACTAAAACAACGTTTTTTAAAAATCCTAACCTAATAAGATGTTTAACTTGTTTATTTTGTTGCTAACGGTTACTGTTTAATATTTACTCGTCATAGACAAATTTCTGATTGTTTGTTATATTTTTCAAAAGAGTGCATCTTTGTCTATTTTTTTCTTTTTTAACGTTTCGCTTATTTGAAATGAGTAAATGACTTGTGTGCAGTGTTATTGATCTGTGTACACGTGTTGCCTCGGTGTGGATCTATTGTGCCTGTTTTCGATTCATAATGTTTATGGTTGAAGTGTTTCTACTTTTTGTCTCATAATTTTTTAATGTTCGTTTTTTTATATATTTTATTGTTTGTACGTCTCTTTTTCTGAGTTGTTTTTTCGTTTGTTGTTCTTTTTTGTACTCTTATGGTGTAATTAATTGTACATAAATTTAGCCTTGTTGTGTTTCGAATGCTTTTGTGTCTATCCGTGTGTTTAAGTTAAATAGTTAAGTAATAGCAGTTTATTGCATATTTTTATGCATCTACTCTAGAACATCAACATATCTAAGTACTGTTAGATTTCGCTTTAGAGAGTGTGGTGAAATTATGAGTGCCTTGATCCTTATAACCAGAGGCCTGATAACGATGGTTATGATTGGTTAATGATGGCAATGGTTAGTAATGATTGCTTGACTATTCTTAACACAAAATATTGTAATGTTGTTTAGCTGGTAGAATGGGTTATCAGATGACACTTGGTTTGATGGATGGTTAAGAGTGGTTATTGACAGCTGGGGATGGTACGCCAAATAACCTACACTACAATAATTTCATGGATGGCTAAGAATAGTTGTTAGACCATCCCTAACCCGAAATATTGTGATATCTATTGGTTAACTGGTAGAATAGTTATCAGATGACATATGGTTTGATGGATGATCATGAGCGGCTTATTGATAGCTAAGGATGGTAATACACTAGATAACCATACACTAAAATAATTTCATGGATGGTTAATAATATTTGTTAGACCATCCCTAACCCGAAATATTATGACATCTATTGGTTAATTGGTAGAATGGGTTACCAGATGACAAATGGTTTGATCGATGGTTATGAGTGGCTTATTGATAGCTAGGGTAATACGATAGATAACCATATACTACATTTGGTTGAAGGTTGATAATGATAGCTTCCTTAACCGAAAATATTATGATATGTAGTGTTTAACCAACTGTATATGCTAACTTGAGTAAATAATTTGATCTATCTTTGGCTTTTAAGTGTAACACGGTTCCGATCCGCCAAAGACTGACTTACTACTAAAAAATAAATGACTGATTCTTACGAAAATATTGGGAGACGTAGTGTAAGAACATTACTTGATAAATTAAAGCTTAGCAAAAGATCACGACTTGATAATGTACATCTAAATCTACACGTAATATGTTCTATATGGCATGTACACATAAAGACAGCTAGGTTTATCTGATGATAAAAATTTCTCTTTAGAGGAGACCTCCTGGAAAAGGACAAAATAGTGATACCAAGACTATTATAGTAATTAGGAATTGTTTTCGTTGAATGTACTTTTAGCCTGTACACTCGACCAGATTGGGTACTACCTGGACCTTAGTCGTAACTGATTTTTCAAATTCCTCTTAGTATGGTTAATTTTTTGAAGGTGGTTAATAATATCGTGAAGGAGTTATCGATACCACTGAAGATGGCGAAATTCCGAAACATGACACACCCAAGACTGCTCAGCAGGTCAGAATAATTGGAAATGATCAAATTTTAAATGTCAAATTTAGAAATAATTTTTAAGTTTGTATTTTTATCGTTATTTTAGGGAAGTAGTTTATTTTATTGAATTCTTGAAAATGTTAAGCTTTTAAGTCAATCCTTGATTTTGTAGTTATTTTAAATTCCGCTATGTAGCGCTAGTTTGTTTTTTGCTTTATAATAATGCAAACCAGGAAAATTACAAAATAATTGTTAATTAATGTTTTTATTTATTTAATTTTTTTATTTATTGTTTATTTTCAAACCCTAGCCGTGGAAAAGGTGGAAAAGGTTTATGAAAATAGGCGTTGCTACATTCACCTAGTGTCTAAGCCGGTGACCCGGGGCCGTGGCTGAGTCTTGTTTGTAAATATTGCACGCACGTCTCAACGGCAGTTTCGATGACCGTTTGAACACCAGCAGATGTCAGGCTGCACGGTTGCAGGACTGGACAAGGAATATTTCAAGAAAAGGACGAGTTTCCGAAGTTTCCGTTTTTCATTCACCGACAGGACATGAGCTCCAACGGGAAGAGGATGTCTGCCCCCAGGAACAGGGATCACGGCCTCCAACAGAACCAGGAAGAGCTCATCAAGTTCATATGGGATTGTAAGCAGACCAAAAGTCCATATTGACATTAGTAATACAGTGTTAAATACTATCTAATGAGTAAACAATGTCTAACAACATTATTTAAAACTCTTGGAACTATCTGCCCAGATTACATAAGTTATATCGCATTTAATCTATTTGATTTGCAATTTTATAACAAGTCGCATATAGAACTGTTAATTTTTAACGCTTTCAAGTAGAATTTAACTATTGGTATGCATAAACTATGTCAAAGTTGATCTTTTTTTAATCATAGAATATGCAGGACGTTAGTTCAGCCATTTTTAAATTTTCAACAAGTCGGTTTCTGTTATTCCCCATGACCAATTAGTTTTGTATTGTTTTTTTCTGTTAAAAATTCAAATAAGTCCCTTTAAAATGAAATCATAAACATTTCTCCGACCAAAGTCCTGAAGGTGAGCATAAACAATGCCAAAGTTGATCATTTTTTGTTATCATAGAATATGCAGGACGATAGTGAAACCATTTTTAAATTTTCAACAGTTCAGTTTCTGCTTTCCCCATGACTAGTCAGCTTTGTATTGTTTTTTCTGTTAAAAATTCAAATATGTCGCCTGTAAAATGAGTCATAAACATTTTTCCTACTAAAGTTCAGATGGTAAGCATAAAATATGCCAAAGTTGATCATTTTTTTAATCATAGAATATGCAGGACGTTAGTTCAGCCATTTTTAAATTTTCAGCAAGTCGGTTTCTGTTTTTCCCCATGACCAACTCGTATTGCTTTTTCTGTTAAAAATTCAAATAAGTCCCTTTAAAATGAAATCATAAACATTTCTCCGACTAAAGTCCTGAAGGTGAGCATAAACTATGCCAAAGGTGATCATTTTTTTATCATAGAATATGCAGGACGATAGTTCAGCCATTTTTAAATTTTCAACAGGTCAGTTTCTGTTTTTCCCCATGACCAACTCGTCTTCTATTGCTTTTTCTTTTAAAAATTCAAATATGTCGCCTATAAAATGAAATTACAAACATTTCAACGATTAATGTCCTGAAGGTGAGCATAAACTATGCCAAAGTTGATCATTTTTTTAAATCATAGAATATGCAGGACGAAAGTGCAGCCATTTTTAAATTTTGAACAGGTCAGTTTCTTGTTTTTCCTCATGACCAACTAGTTTTGTATTGTTTTTCTATTTCAAATTCAAATAAGTCCCTTTAAAATGAAATCATAAATATTTCTCCGACTAAAGTCCTGAAGGCGAGCATAAACTATGCCAAAGTTGATCATTTTTTAAATCATAGAAGCAGGACGATAGTGCAGCCATTTTTAAATTTTCAACAGGTCATTTTCTGTTTTTCCCCTTGACCAACTAGTTTTGTATTGTTTTTTTCTGTTTGAAATTCAAATGTGTCGCTTGTATTGTTTTTTCTGTTTTAAATTCAAATAGGTCGCCTGTAAAATGAAATCAAACATTTCAGTGACAAAAGTCCTGAACGTGAGCATAAAATATAACATTGTTGATCATTAATCATCAGCAGGACGACAGAACAGTCATATTTTAAATTTGCACTAGGCTATTGTTTGTTTTCCCATGGCCATTCATTATTTAATGTTTTTCAACGTAATGTAACATTTTAATAAGTAAAAACTTGTTTGAGTTCAAATTTGACAGAGAGCATAAAATGTGTTGAAGTTGATCATTTTTCACTGTCGAATGTACATGATGACAGTGCTGCCATTTTGAAACTTTGAACAGGTCCTTGCTTGCTTTTCCCACTGTTGGTTTTCACTTTATATTGTATTTTTCTCTTATTATCTTACCAACAGTGTCTAAAATATGTCAGTTTTTTTCTCTTCTAAATTTTCAACATAAAATGTGCAGGAGAAAGGTGCAGCCATTTTTGAGTTTTCACCCACTGTTGACTTTCCCTCTGGCAATTTTAATTTATTATTGTTTTTTCTGTTTTTTTAAAACTTATTTTAACAAGTGAAAACTTTCCTGGGTCAGGACAGTGTTAAAATTTAACAAAGAGCATAATATTTCTATGAGACATATATAATATGCCAATTTTTGAGGATACAATATAAACGGGAGGACAGTGCCACTATTTTGAAATTTTGAACAGTTCTCTGTTTGACTTTTCCTTTTGACGATTGTAATTAAAAAAACAAACTTGTTTTCTCCCTTATTTTAACATTTTGCATCGTCAAATATGCAGGTCACAGACAGTCATTTTTAAATTTGTAGCAGGCTAGTGTTTGCCTTTTCCTCTGCCAATTTTAATAGCATTTGTTAAATCCACTTAGTAGACTTAGAACTACTCGGTTGTATTAGGACTAGAATGTTAGTAGGACTGCAGGCTCTGGAGGAATATTTATGTACTTGGAGCAATAGAAAAAACCTTAACTATACTACTTGACCATTGGAAAGACTTTATATAATAAACTTACTTTTTAAGTTATTATGTATAATAAGTAACTTATAAACTGGTGAGATAAAAATGATCAAGGTTGATAATTTTTCATCATAGAATACACAGGATAGGCACAATAGCAATGTTATGAATTCACTGATAATTTTTCCCCTTACTTTTTCATTTTTTTAAATAAATTGAATAACTAATGTTTTACCATGTTAAAAGTTCAAAATAATTAATCAGGAAGATCTCTAAGACCAAACCTCATTGCAAGAGTTTATCATTAAAAAAGTTTTATAATTTTATTAGGCATGTTATTATTTTAAAATTATGTACAGAATATAACCGTGGATTCAGGTTTGTCAGATTTGACTGTCCGCTGGCCATTCAAAGTAAGAACTGTTTGCTGACATTTAACGTCAGGTTTTTTTTTGTTGACATTTTAACAATTACAATTAATCAAGCACCATTCGTACTGTGCGTGACAGAAATAATTAATCATCGTCCACATGCCTGATTTGACATTCCTTTCATTCATGTTTGTAAATTAAAAACAGATCAAAATAGAAGTTCAATTTTCTTGTTTGTCTTGTCGGGCGCGTTGTACTGCAACAAAAGTCTGAGCATGATTGATAATCATTGTTCAACATCACTTAAAAAATCGATTTTTTATTGTAAATTTTAAATTACATTAGCCAGTTTGGCACTTATATGTCTTAAATTAGAAAAGATAATCTGTGCTATTTGGCATGTGGAATAAAACATGCAAAAAGGGTAAATTATCCTTACAACTCGCTCTGATAAAACGCCAAGGGGGTCTGGACAATATTGCATGATAAAAATAGAATTATCTCTTTTTAACAATTTTGACCTGACCCCAAGATAAAAAATTATAAATTAGATTTCGTCTTCAATAATTTGTAGAATTACATATTCTTGTTGAATTTTGAATTAAATGCATAAAAATGAATACATTTGTGTGTATGTCCTTTTAGAGAACTTGAGAAATTATTACATTTTTATTTTTTCAGCATGGAACAAAGTTTGCCAGGAGTACCAAAAGGGGAACACTCAGGGTCAGTTTGCATTTTAAACATTTATTCTGTAGTATTTAATTTTTTGTATTATTGTATTTTGCATCCGTTGTTTTTATCGTTTTCAGGATCACCGACTGTTGCATACCACATCGAGTCTGAGCCGAATCCGATGCTCAAAGGTAATTGACAAAAGAAAAAATTGTTTGTATACTTTTTCTAATTTTTGTTTTGCCTGTAGATTTCGTTCCTTTTGACCTCGAGGCTTACTGGGGTAAACGGCTCGTGCAGAACATCTCGACGCACAACGCCTGATTCTATTTTATAATAATCATATATTTTTTACTAAGGGCACTTTTTATACTTATAATTTGATATTAATTTATATATAGCTAAGGTGATTTTAAGGGAAAAAAATATGTATATTACCATCCCCCCTTATTTTGTTTATCACAACCCTTGTATCAGTATTCGTACCGGGATTTGAGTTATTTTTTATATGAAGGAACATTCCCAGTTTGTTTATTATTATAAGCTTTTTTGTTTTTTTAAATGATTTTGAGAATTAAGAAAAGAAAGTGTATCTAATACCTATATGAATATTTTTTGTTTGCTCGTAATGTTTTTGCTTTATTACAAGATAATAAAACAGGACATAAAATAAATTTTTTGAAAAAAAAAAAAACTAGCTTAATTTGCCCCTTCCAAAATCCTTCCTCTTTGTCCAGCCGCAACTTGAGGTAAATATATATAAATACATGTTTTAATTATAAATTATCGTTAAGTACAAAGCCATTTATTGCAGGTTAATGGAATTGGGAATTGGAATTTGGTTGTCTTCCGCTTTGCTATACCCAGGTAAATGCAGATACACAGATTTGTAATTTATTGCCTTGGATTACCAGGCAATGCTATGCCAACATTTGTATTGAATTAATGAACCCATTTGAACTAATTGTTCCTTGCCGCTAGCAAATAAAGGAAGCATAGATAAAAGTTACTTATAAGAATTAATAAAAAGATGAAAATGCATATGTAAGTTTTTTCTTACAATGTTGCTTTTCAGTTTTTAAACATATTAATGATAAAAAATGTATATTTAATAATTTATTATCTTCTTGAATTTCTAAAAGAAGTTAATTTTATTGGTATAGAGGTCAATTCCATGTTTTCGACATCATGTCCCGGTTTCGTTTTATTGTTGGTCTTGATCATGTCCAGGTCTCGTTTCACCTCGGAGAGTTTCTTGATGATGGTGTCCTCCTTCGAAGGCCGGTTCTGCTCCCTGGATACAAGCTCGCCGAGAGCTTTGACGGCCTCTTCGAGCTTTTCGACCCGCTCTTCTTCCTCGCGCATCTCCCTGTCGCGCTTTACGTCCCGGACAAAGTTCCTGAGGGTCTCGTTTTCCTGCTTGATCCCAAGGAGCTCGTCCTTGGTCGTGAGGAGCTCCTCGCGCATCTTCATGACCAGGATGGTCGCTTCTCTGTCTAAGTGGTCGTATTCGGAAAGCTGCTTTGTCGTGAGGTCGGTCTGTACGCCGACCTCCTGGCCTTCCTTTTTAATAAGGCTCAGGACTGTGTTGAGCTTCTCGTTTATCGTACCGTTCCCTTTTCCTAGGATATTCAGGTAAAATTTGACGTCTTTCATCTCGCTCTCGATCGTTTTCGTTTTGAGGATGGTCTGAGTGAGGTCTTCGTGGTTTTTGGCCATGAGGACTTTCTCCTCTTCCATTGCGGTCATCTTTTGCACAGCAACCTCGGCGGCTTTTTTGTACTTTTTTCCTTCGAGTATCAGGCTGTGCTTGGAATTCTCTTCTTGTAAAAGTTTCATTTTTGTCTCGTGCAACTCGTCCGCAACTGACTGAAAGTCGCATTTCAGTTTTTCAAATTCCCTCTCTAGTGTCTCGTCTTTCTTCACCAGAGAATCTCTTTCTTCTTTAAGATTCTCTGCTTGTCCCGACATCTTAAAAATAACAAAAAACAATATTAAACCAACACAACACAACACTACTATATATTCTTACGGTTGCCAATTCGTTTTCCATGTAAATAAGTTTGTCGTTTAAAAGTTTATTGTGGTCTTCGAATTCCCGCAATTCTTTCTGAATGTTCTCAGTCGTAGTCCTGAGATGTTCTTCGACCCCTTCCCAGTGGTTTTTGGCTTCAGAAAATTCCCTGATAAAACAGCACACTTACTTTATTTACAAAATACAAACAAAATACACGGATAAACTCAAAACTGCTGCAAATCGAAATTTTTACCTCAGATATGTTTCAGTGCTCTGGGCCAGCCGTATTTTTGCCTCATCCCTTTCTGCTTGCAGTTCTGAAAGAAAAAGAGAAAAAACAAATCAGTAAACAATTAATAAACACAAAGTTCCTAATCTCACTTTCTCTTGCGGACTTTTCCACTTCGTACAATCTCATGGCTTCGTCCCTCTCTTTGGTCAGGTTCTGTATCTCGTCCAGACATTTTCCAACGTACTCCTTGATCTCCTCGAAATGGGTCCGTTGCGTTTCGCACGCCACGTCAATCATTTCCATCTCTAAGGTTAAAAAATTGTTGATAAACTTGTGCCTCAATGAATTTTTTGATTCAGGACTCCATTAATTAGATTACAAAAATAGATAAAATGTATTAAAAAAGTCATAAAGTCCTTCAGGTTTAAAAATCAAAATCAAAACAAAAAAAGGAAAAATATTTACGGGCCATCCTTAAAGAAGTCTTCTTTCCTCCCTTTTAAAACAGACTTCTGATTACCTCGAGGTTTTATAAAATTTAAATTAAAAGGAAAAAAATAATTTGGCTTTGTACAAATGATTAACAAATCAATAAATAAAACAATTCAATCTTACCTGAGCACAAGTTGATTCGGTACGATTTAAAACAAAACCATTTGGTTATCAATTCTATCACATGTTAAACAGCTGGCCTTAAGTTATTTATATTTAAAAATACACAAACATAAAATTAAAGATAATTTTCAAATTGAGGAACTACTTCAGGAACTATTTGACCAAAATAATTTTACGTTTATTTTGATTTAAACTGGGCAGATGTGGAAGTACTCAGAACAACAACTTCAATGAAGCATCTGCAAGATGAGGCAACAGTTAAATACAATAGGTGCCTACAACAGTGACCAAATGTGCACCACTCTGCTTATTTCTTATGTTGACCCTGGGAGTGAAACGAAATGTAGATCGTAAAATGAAAGAAATTAAAGAAAGAGGAGAGAGCAAACCAAGCTAAAACTGTCACCAAGATAAACCGAGTGTGTGTGTGTGTGTGAGAGAGAGAGAGAGAGAGAGAGAGAGAGAGAGAGAGAGAGAGAGAGAGAGTGTGGGCGGGAGAAGGACAACTGAGAGCGGGGGAAAGGGAGGGAGAGAGAGAGAGAGAGAGAGAGAGAGAGAGAGAGAAAGAGATAGAGTGTGAGAGGTGAGGGTTCTTATTATTATCTGTTTGTTTCTTTGTTTTTGTCTTTTCTGGGAGTGAAATAAACTGGAGATAGAAAAACGAAAGAAAACAGAGGGAGACAGCAAAGCATACACAGTGTGGGCAAAGAAAAACAGGATGAGAAGAAGAGATAGGTACATAGATCGAGATAGATAGAAAGAGAGGGAAAAGGAGAGAAGGAGAAACGTAGAAGAAAGAATGATAGAGGGGTAGAGTGAAAGAGAGATAGTGAGAGAGTGGGATAAAGGAGAGATAGAGGCAGAAGATGAAAGAAGGAGAGGGTGAGGAAGGGAGAGAGTAGTGAGAGCGAGGGAAAGGAGGAGAAAGAAAAGTAAACGAAGGGGAAATAGAGGGAGAGGGTGTGACTATGAGGGATAGAGAGAGCTAGTGTGGGAGGGAGAAAGAGAAGTGAGAACTGGAAAAGAAAGATAGAGGCAGAGAGTGAGAGAGCGGGATAAGAGAGAGATATAGGCAGAATGTGAAAGAGGGAGAGGATGAGAAAGAGAGAGAGATGGAGAAATAGAGGGGAGAAATATGGAGAGAGAGAAAGTAGAGAGAGCAGGGGAAAGCGAGAGAGCGAAAGACAGAAAGAGGAAATAGAGAGTGAGAGAGAGGGAGTGAAAGTGAGAGATTGAGAGAGCGGCATAAAAGTGAGATATAGGCAGAAGGTGAAAGAGGGAGAGGATGAGAAAAAGAGTAGAGAGAATAGGGGAAAGGGGAAAAGCGAAAGAAAGAGGAAATAGAGATACAGGGACAGAGAAAGAGTGAGAGAGCGGCATAAAAGAGAGATATACGCAGAAGTGAACGAGGTTAAGGATGAGAAAGAGAGAGAGAGAGAGAGAGAGAGAGAGAGAGAGAGAGAGAAAGAGAGAGAGAGAGAGAGTAGATAGGGCGAGGGAAAGGGAGAGCGAAAGAAAGAAAGAGGAAATAGAGAAAGAGGGAGAGTGAAAGAGAGATAGTGAGAGAGTGGGATCAAAGAGAGATATAGGCAGAAGGTGAAAGAGGGAGAGGATGAGAAAGAGAGAGAGAGATGGAGAAATATGGAGAGAGAGAAAGTAGAGAGAGCAGGGAACAGAGAGCAGGGGAAAGCGAGAGAGCGAAAGACAGAAAGAGGAAATAGAGAGAGAGAGAGGGGGAGTAGTGAGTGCGGGAAAAGGGTGAGAAAGAGAAATAAATAAAGGGGAAGTAGAGATAGAGGGAGAGGGTGTGAGAAGGAGGGATAGAAAGGGCTAGAGTGGGTGAAAGAGAGATAGAGGCAGATTGTGAAAGAGGGAATGATTGAAAGGGGTGATAGAAAGGGAAAGTAGGTTCTTAACATTCTCTGCTTTTACAGTTTCTCGTAAACAAGCGTGAATTGGAATGATTCATTAATCAGAACCACATTATATAAAAAAAACAAAAGACTATAAATAAACGTTTTTTATATTTCTTAATATACTAACATACATTACACAAGTTTTATATAAATAATAAAAAAGAGAAATAAATAAATTACGCGCTAATTTAATTAATTAAAAAAAGTAAAGATAAACACGACAGCAAGACTAATCATCACATGGAATGGTGACAAAAATATGTCACGATAATTTGTACCTTGCTAAAGGGTGGGGGCCAGAATAAAGGGAGGTGGCTTCTTCGCTTGTCAATATTCGAATTAATTGAGTAGGTAAAAATAAAAATAAATAAAATAAAGAAATAAGGTAACGAGGAATGATATCACAGCCACCTCGGAACCAAATATTGCACGATCTGTATTATAATAAAATTGGCTCGAAGCACAAGTTGTGTTTTGTTATATATATTTTTTTAAAAAATGTGAATAGTTATAGAAGACGAATTGAAATTCTACATTTGGATTATGTAAGAATTAAATGTTTATAGTTGATACACAAGAATAAGTCTTATACATTGAAAACGATTTTTTTTTTGTCGCTATTATCTGAGTGTATTGTTTCTCTCTTTTTTCAGGGTGGTTTTGACGCAGAGAAACGCCAGACTTGTCCGGTTTCCTCTCAACGTTGTAATTTACATCGTGGCAAAAAACAGGCCCTACATATTCCGCATTGACACATCAAAGAGCAGAGAGCCACTAGTAATTTTAACCCGCTCGTTTTCGACCCCGAGAAGCAATCCCGTCCGGCGATTCAAATAAAAAAAAAAAAAAAAAAAACCCATCACGGAATTTGACCCAGTCTGGCGAAATAGTTGACACGCCCCCGGGGCTTTGAAAAGTCTTTTTTTCCGGTTCGACGAGAGACACGGGTTGATCAGGCGGGACACGTTTTAATTTATCCCCTACCCCCTTTCGGGACTTGCTGGCGCGTAATTAAAATCCCCCTGAACTATATACATTTCAAAATTCCGCGATAAGACCCAACCCGGCCTTTCAGATGTTGGTATTATCTTTCTCTTTTTTTTTCCGGTTCTGATTATAAAAAAAAACCTTTTGTACTCATCACCAAAAAGACCTTCGTTTACGACTTTTATCTTTCTTCAACGCGACTTGATTTCGAGGTGATGGGGGAAAAGCGCAAAGTACGCAGATTGTAAGCGAGAAGCCTCCTGTAACACTTATTTTTCTTCTCGTTTTACACGGGAACATCACTAAAGGTTGCACTATACGATGGCTGGATTCGCCTTTGGTGGGGTTTCGTTTTGCCTGAGCAGGACCCAGCGGTTTCACTCCTCTGAATTTCACCTGAAACATGAAAAATTACAATTTTTTTACTACCAACTAATACGCTGTGAAATAAGCTACAATATTTTAACCATGTGACGTTTATCACAAGGGGAGGCAGCAATCAGTTGCTGTCCTTCAGTTGTTTTTAATAGTTAAATTTTATTGTTGAGGATGTCCTGGCGCCATCTCCGCCTTAGTGACTGGGTTATGTTGGACATAGATCGGGCTAATGATTGTATTCTTTTGTTGGGGAATTATGTTTTTAACGAAGAGCTATTTGGAGGTCATTATGGCGGTGTTATAGACGTCCTAGCGTTGTCAACACTTCTGAAGACTTAGATTTTTTTTTTAACCTTAACCGTGCGACCAAGATTTTCTTGATATTAATTCACATTGTAATGCGTAGTGTTTTTTTATTTCATTTTTTTCATCTTTTTGTTCGTAGGCGTCGGTTCCAGGTTAGACGTGAGAAGGGTACTTAATCTTCTTCTCAGAGCTACATTTCTCGAGACAGCGAGATAAAATTGATCTTTTATTTAATTGTAAATATATATAAAATAATTTATCACTTTTGGGAAGGAAATAATTTAAAGGATGGTCAAAGCATTTCTCAGATCGACGTTGGAGTGATCGATGGACCGAATTACAAAGAGAAAACCGGCTTTTAATAACGGCCAAGAAGACCAGCATGAAAATAACTTTATATACGTCAATCTAATAAAGAAATATTCAACATCGCAGTTTAGCGTTGTGCGTTTAAAAGAAAATTAAGTCTATTTGTATTGATAATTTGATAAAATTGTGTGGTTCTCATGAATAAAAAAATATAAGAAATATTTAAATTTAAACTAACTCAAAAACAAATTATATAGATAAAAGAAAACTTAAGTAATTTTTTTTACTAAACTTGGACACAATGGGAAAATAGAAAAAAACTCGCCATAGTTTAAGACATAAAACATAAGAATGCTGACAACCAGTCAGCGTAGGCGAGGTAAGCTTCGCGTATTAGCAAGAACAAAAAATGGTTAAACAAGGAAAATAGAGAGAAAAAAAATACGGTAATAAAACAAGGTATAATTAACAAATCAGTACAACTCTCGGTAGCGGGTGGGACTGGGTAGAGGCAGAAGCTGAAAGAGGGGGAGGGTGAGAAAGAGAGAAAGAGAGATGGAGAAAGAGAGGGGAGAAAGATGGACAGAGAATATGTGAGAGAGAGAGTAGAGAGCGGGGAAAAAGGAGAGAGCGAAAGAAAGAAGACATAGAGATAGAGGGAGAGAGATAATAAGAGAGTGGGGGAAAGAGAGATAGAGAGAGTGGGGGAAAGAGAGATAGAGAGAGAGTGTGGGCGGGAGAAGGACAACTGAGAGCGGGGGAAAGGGAGGGAGAGAGAGAGAGAGAGAGAGAGAGAGAGAGAGAGAGAGAGAGAGATACACATATAGATTACATGTACACATATATAAACATATACACACATATATACATATAAATATATTTATGTACATATATATATAACGTATATATATGTATGTATACATACATATGTATATATACATTATATATGTGTACATATATAAGCATATCCATGCAATATATACATGTATATGTATATGCGTGTATATATACATATATATTGTATGAATATATATATATATATATATATATATATTTATACCTGTTTTATACATGTTATATTTAGTGTTTCATTTTTCGTCGCAACAGGAAAACACACCTGTTGCGTTGATTATAAGTACGGCCATGCAATGTGTGTCGAAGTTTCATTTTTCAGCGCAACGTAAAAAAGAGAGACCTGTTAGAGTATATTTATTTTGCCATTTTTTTATAATGAATAGGCCAATTAAATACTGATATAAAGTCGCGAATAACGAAACTAAGAATTTAATTTACGTTTTTAAACTGAGGGTTAATCTACTTTTAAGTACCTTGCACTTTTGCTCAAGTGAGGGTGAACTACGTGCTACCCACAAGTGGCTGATTCATTAATTTAAATGAGGTGTTCGAACATATTTCCTTCTGCGCTAACAAAATAACCCAGCCGATCGTCCCTGTACTTTGTAAATTTTAATGGGAGTTATTGTTTCAAGTCTAGCAACTTGGAGTTGGTCCACATTTTCAAAACGTTCAGGATTACTGTAAAACTGGTTAAGACCGAGAGTGAGAGAGAGATGTAAGAGAGAGAGAGGTGGATGCATTAGTCGGGGTGTGAATTAAACTGCGCCTTTAAGAGCTATTGTATCTACCGTCCTGTGCCTATCGAGTCCTCTAATTCATCAAAGAAGTTGATTAGTAGGCCCGGTTTTCCAAAGCAATTGTTCCTGGAGGCGAGTGTAGCACCACAGTTTGCTAATAGGTGTATTGATGTCTCCTCTGCTTCTTTTCAGAATTTTCACGTGCCGTGTCGGGTCATGCCAATCTTTTTTAAATGTCTGTTTAGGTTGCAATGTCCTGTTAAAAATCCTGCTATTATTCGCAGCTCCTGCACCCTTTGATACCTTTAATTACTACTTTCCTTTCGAATTTTGTTAGGAGGTTCTTGGATTGTTTGTGCACAATGAGTGAGTTCCATTTTCCCCTCATTTTCTTTTTATACTTCTGTCTGAGGTAGTCAATGATAGTGTGGGTTCCTATGCCACATAAGGGTCATATCAGCGGTATAGCAGCCCCAAGGGTGCCCGCTTTCTCGTTGCCTTCTACTCCCACATGTCCTGGGACCCAGCAGAAGCTGACTTTTTGTTCTGCATATTTAATATGTTTAGTTTTGTTTTGCAGCTCAACACCATCTTTGAACTAATGATGTTCGAGCGTAGTGCTTTGATGTCTGCTTGGCTATATGACATAGTAGCTATGTTCTTGTATTTGTACTCTTTATTCAAGTCGAACTGAGTACATCTCTGGATTGCGTAGACCTCAGCATGGAAGATACTGGTGGATTTTCCCATGGGTTCCGGGACAGAATAGTTTCTCGTGTTCTAGATCTTAAAAGAGGCGTTTTTCTCTCTTCCCGTTCTCTTTTCGTACCTAACTTTATTTGGCGGTTTTGATTAAATTCAAACATCCTGTTCATATCGTCTCTTGGAGCCATGAGTATCGGATGGTCATTATATTGTTGCTATCTCTCCATTTTAGTTTTATTCCTTTTGGAGGTTTCTCTTTAATAACACTAATAATAGTTTTCTGTCCTGTCCAGATTATCATGTGTGTGGGAATTAATCCCAATATCTTTTCCATACCAAATGTGGGACATGTTCTCATCGCTCCCGTCATACAGATGCATGCGAGTCTGTTTTTTTGTGATTTCTTTTCGTTTTGTTATTTGTTCTCCTTTGCCGGCCCAGCCTATGCCTCCGTTTGGTCTTACCATCATGGTATACATCCAAAGCAGTTTCCGGTCTGCATCCCAATTTTTTCTTTGATGCTGTTCTCTGCTATTCTTCTGCACACCATCAAATCGTGAGAGAGAGTGGGGGAAGTGTGTGCGTGTATGAGAGAGAGAGAGAGATAGATAGATAGATAGATAGATAGAGAGAGAGAGAAAGAGAGAGACTGGGGGAAAGGTGTGTGTGAGAGAGAGCAAGAGGAGGAGAAATGTGTGAGAGAGAGCAAGAGGAGGAGAAATGTGTGAGAGAGAGAGTGTGAGGGGGAGAAGTGTGAGAAACAGAGGAAGAAGTGTGTGAGTGTGTGTGTGTGTGTGTGTGTGAGAGAGAGAGAGAGAGAGAGAAAGAGAGAGACGGGGGAAAAGTGTGTGTGAGAGAGAGCAAGAGGAGGAGAAATGTGTGAGAGAGAGAAGATAATTGTGTGTGTGTATGAGAGAAAGAGAAAGAGGGGGAGAAGGGTGGGTGTGTGTGTGTGTGTGTGAGTGAGTGAAAGAGAGAAAGAAAGAAAGAGATAGAGAGAGAGAGATAGAGAGAGAGAGTGAGAGAGAGAGAGAGGGAGGGAGGGAGGGAGAGAGCAAGAGGAGGAGAAATGTGAAAGAGAGAGAGTGAGGGGGAAAAGTGTGGGAAAAAGGGGGAGAAATGTGTGAGTGTGTGTGTGCGCGCGCGCGGGCGTGAGAGAGAAAGAGAGAGGAAGAAGTGTGTGTGTGAGATAGAGAGAATGAGGGGGAGAAGTGTGTGTGTGTGTGTGTGTGTGGTGAGAGAGAGAGAGGAGAGAGAGAGGGAGAAGTGTGAGAAAAAAGGGGGAGAAATGTGTGTGAGTGAGAGAGGGTGAGAGGGAGAGCGAGAGAGGGGAAACAGTATTATGTGCTGTTGCGATATATATATATATTTTTTTTTGTTAAAATTATGAAAGGATGGATGGTTTTTGATTTTTTTATGATGATAAGGTTCAAAATGAAAAACGCCGAGAACATTTTTGAGGAGAGTACTAATTAACCGTCTTGTGGGGTGATTATCAATAAACAGACATCCGTCGAAAAAAAGCCAGAAGGGCCGGACAGGACGAGCCTGTAATCATGCGACAACAAATCAAATACAGTTGAAAATCAGTACGGAACTGAAAATTGGCCCTTTTCAACGGAATTAAGTTGCAATGAGGCGGCCAGAGAATATAAATTGCCCGTTATCGGCTTGACTGGTTTACAGAAGAAGGCTTTAAAAGGTGAACCTCGAATAAAAAACCGTTAACAATTTCTTTCGTTTACCCTTCTTTAAATTCACCACGGTGAAATATTTAAAACACCAATCCCAATTGTTGATAGTAGTGGTAAATTTTTGAAAATAAAGAACCCACCTAGTTGAGATACGTCCGCAAGGATGTAGTCCTCGTGTGGCTCAATGACAGCTGCCTTCTAGGCACCCGGCCCTGGCAGCATAGAGCTTTGCTGAAGCTCTCTCTGAAGTTCTTCGACATGAAACCGTAGACGACAGGGTTGACACAACTGAAAAAACCACATAATTAACATTTAATTTATGGTGTATGTTATACATATAAATCATGTTTCTAAAATATATGTATTTTGATCAATTATAGTTTTTAACAGTGAAGAGTAAGAGTTTAATGGGTTTTGTATTTTTATGTATAGATTAGGACGATTTTTTTGAGTTTACGGCGCTGACTACTACCATTCGTGACGACACGGCTGTGTTTTTGGTATGGTAGAACCCTCAGCTGTGGCGCCCGCTTTCTCGTCATTAGACACTAGAACCAACAGCTGTGTCGCCAATTTTGACGTCATAGACTAAACTAGTAATGACGCTAACTTTGACGTCATTAGACAACAGACCAACCAGGTATGGCGCCCACTTTAGCGACATGCGGCATTATTGATTGGGAAATTGAGTCCTACTAGCTATGATGCCACTTTGATGTCATTGTACAAATGTTTACCCAATTATGGTGACCACTTTTACATCATTGAACAATTGACTAGCCATCTTAGTCCCATAAACTTTGATGCCGTAACACTATCGACCAACGAAGTCACAAGACACCGGTTCTATTTAGCCCTGGTATTAATTTTCATGCTAATTCTGTTGTTATTTTTGAGACGTTATTTTGACATCACTAGATTAGCTGTTCGATTATGGACTTATAAGATTAGCCAAGCCCACGTTCAGTGCTTTGACTTCATCTATGTTTATTTAATTGAATCAGCAGAAATTGCGTATATTATAATTGCAGCTTGTAAGTTAGGAAGTGGGATGGATTTCAAATTCAACTGCATAAAGGTGATAGGAGCATTTTTTTAAAATTTAGTATAGGATTTATCGCTGTAGCCCTGAAGGGCTCCAGAAGTGATGGACTGGGAGAGAGGATGTGGGTTTATTTGAAATGGGGACGACTTGGAAGCAGGAGAAAAATAATATTCTGCTTAGCTTGCGAATAAGTTCAGTATAGTTTGTATGATGTGAAATTTTGTTGACATTTTGTAAATTAAGGATGTTGGGTATTGAGCGACCTCGTCCGATTGTGGGAGGTAATCCTTTTCCCAAATGTGTTGCCAGACCTATTTTACGACACTTTGCCACTCAAATCACTCACCTGATTAGATGTAGAGCTTCTGTATATTAAAAATCCTTAAAGATAGCGTTAATAGGCAATAACATACAAATAAAATGTTATCTAATAGAAATAACAAATATATTATAAGAAAAAGTTACGGCAAAGGTAAACAAAGTTAGTTTCTTATTGTAATAATAAACTATCAAATAAAATTATAGTATTAGCTTTAAATTAAAAAAATAATTAAACAGAGAAATAACGGAAGAGCTCGTCAACGAATTTAGAAAAGAAAGAAAAAACTAAGTTAAAATGAAGATACAAAAAAAGTATATATATTTAAATTAAACTAAAAGTTCACTTGTGAGTACTCTTGATGTATAGATGTGACGTGGCGTTGCGGTTGTGCGGGAAAGATTATGAAGTCGGGTCCACTTCTGCTGCGGTGCGGTCGTTGTGAATCAAGACATAGACACATTGTAGTGCGGCGGACGAATAATAATAACGCCCGTATTGTTGAACAGTACAGAACGTTGTACTATCGATTTACAATACAAAATAACATATAAAATTACTGCCTGAAACATCTAAATTTAAGAAACAGAACGTATGCTGTCTTCTTGGCGGTTAAGACGCGACTGGTCCAGTTGACTGGACTTGACAAGAAAAAGAAGGGGCGTTTCCATGGTAATGAAAAATACAAAACAATTCACCGTAGCAACGGCGACGTGTAAACACTGGTGCTCATGGCAACCGAAAGCATAACATTTGGTTCCCATAGCAACGGGAGGCGTAAACATTCGTTCCCCGTGGCAACGAGACCAAACAAACTCTAACTTAAATTAAAACTAAAATAAAATTTAAATTCAGGCGTAAACAAAGGATTTATGTGCATTTTTAAATCACTGCTTTCTTTGTGGGAGAAATATTTCAAAATGATTTAAACTGTTATTGTCCTCACGATAATAATAGTTTTAAATTACAATTTTGTATGTACAAACGGTGATATATTATACGAGTGCTGGAAAAAAGTTTTCCTTAACGAATAAATATATTAACCAAAACATAGGGTTATATAAATTATCCTTATCAGCGCAAATCATGCTTTTGTTGGGAAAAATGCCGTTGGGGGCAGTTTAGTAACGAATATTAACAAAAAGGAATAAATAATTGCCGTTATATTTCATTGTTAACAGTGAAATTCCCGCGTTTCTTTTATCTTCCTCTATGCCTTCTGTTCTTTCTACCGCTGTTTTATTTGCTCCAGTCAAATACATTATTCCCCTCTTTGAAAAGATTCACCGCACCTGTTGCGGTCCGAATAGGCTCCGGGGTAGTAAGGCTGACGTTTAATTAATAACTCTCAAACTCTAATTCCGGATACGGAAGGTTTCCGGGACAATTTCCACCTGGATCTCGGCTTTGTCCGAGGGAAATCGTATTATATCATCCCTCTCGCCGGCGGCTTCTAATTATGAATGATAAAGAATGAAGGATACGTCAAAAACTGACTTATTCACTTTGAAATATTAAACGGCATTGTCAGTAACAAACTGATAAATGCAAAGAAATATCACACTAAAGCTCTGAATTCCTTTTTGCTAATTTTAGTTAAATATTTAATTTTTGAAACATAATCCAACAAAACACTGTCAATTATTGAATTTAAGATCATAAAAATTACAACTGCTCATTAGCTTAATTGCTTAATTTGAACTATTTATCTTTTATCAACAAATTGGTGTTACTAAATAATGGTAATACTTAAAAAAAAAAAAAAAAAAAACACGAATAAAATAAGAAATTCTTTTCAGAGGATCTTCGGAAGAGGTACCTGAAGAGGTTATCTCTTCCGAAGATCCTCTGAAAAGAACTTCTTGTATCCAGCAGGTCATCTATTTTCAAACTAAGAAATAAAAAATCATTTGCAAATCACACCGCCTAAATCGACCATTCCGCAAGACCTCGGTGTGTTGCGGGTATGGTTGCTTCTAGCGCTGTGAATGCAATCGTATCCACCAGAAATACAATGAACTAAAATTTATTCTTCTTAACGATCAAAATATTTTTGTAATTTTAATTTTTTGCAAGCGTTTAGGTTTTATTTAAATTATATTGCTTTGTTGCAAAATAAAGTACCGTTTTTACGAGAATCAATCTTTTATATTTTTAATCCCAAATGAAAGAACATTTGTTTATCCATCAATGGAAATATTATTTAATTCCTTTATTAGACAGGTTTTTTTGTGCAGCTCTTTTCTATAAAGAGATACTTTTTATATAACCAAGTTATGAACACAAATGCTTGCGTACAATTTTACTCTTTGAGTTCTAAGTAGGTCGTTCTGCTTGCTGGGGCTACACGGAATGTTTTTGATCCTGAGGAAGGATTCAACCATCGAACCACATTGTCGCTAGTTTCAAAGGAATTAAACTTAGTATGCCGGCTGACAAACAAGGTAGAAAAAGCAAACCAACTTTGAATAACAACGAGTAAAATTATATTTTGGATTCCACCTTAAGTCAGACAGTTTCCGAGATGTCAGCGTGTAACAGGTAACAGAAAAGAATCGAAACCTTTCCATCTTTTGAGAATGATCTAATTTTTGCATCGCTTCATGATATAATGGTAGCGGCTAGGAGACCTTGATAGCTGTGAAATAGTCAGGAGAAGACCTGGAGAACGGTACAGTCAGTGCTGCTTCAAATTTTCCATTTGTTAAGTTGATTGGAGATGAACCTGCAATATGCTCGTTCAATCTTGTGAAATATTGCGTTGAAGTTTAATTATGAAAATTACGAGAATAAATGTAAACGTACTATTATTAGGTTGATGAAGTTAGAAATAGATTTTTAATGAGATTTTGTAAGTTTGAAAATCAAGGTAGAAAGAAAGGAAAGAAATGTTTGATGAACTGTATAAACTAAAAACGTTGGACAAACCATTTGATTATAGATTTCTACTGTTTCCTAAAGATATTTGTATTTATACAAATATCGTTAAATTTGTCCATGAGTGCCACATAACTATTGGAGACGATAACTGTCTCTTGCCTGCTGCCTGGTGGGGGGGGGCCTTGTCTGGTTGCTGGGGGTGTGTGGCGCTGGGGTTGCTCTGGTACATGTACATCGATAGCCGTCCCCGATCGGTTTGGAATGTGGCCAGGCACACACGCACATCCCACCAGGAGACCGGACGTACTTGAGTCAAATTGGAATTTGAGGTGGTGCCGCATTTTTTCCCCGGTGGGCGGGTTGGGGCTCTCCTCTTCGGCCCGGGTAGTACTTTGTGCTAATGGTGAAAACCAGGGGTCAAAAAAAAAGAAAAAAAAGCACTACCATTTCTTACATGGGGAAAGAACTAAGGCATTATTCAATTTCAATAAACACAAATGTTTTAACTTTAAATTTATTTCCTTTATTAGACAGGATTTTATTGTGCAGCTCTTTTCTATTAACAACTTTTCTAAAAATAACTTTTAATTAAACCTATTAGCCTTTTATAAAAACATTACTTTCAAAAATTTTTAATGACAGATTTTAAACAATGAACAAAATAAGAAATGAAAAATCGTTTGTAATCACGGCGCTTGAACCGACCATTCAGCAAGACCTTGGTGCGTTGCGGGTATGGTTGCTCCTAGCGCCGTGAATGCAATCGTATTTATTTAATTAGCGTATAAACTGCTGAAAAGTGAATAGGGATATTTGTAATTTATTCTTATTCTATTAATTTTATTAAATTACACGATATATTCGTGTTAGTTGGATAAAACAGAAGAGAAAATATAAACAATGTTATTCGTCATTTTTAATAACAAGTTTACTTAAGCACAGTAAACATGAAGGTTATTCATTTTGTAAATAAAAACCTTTTCTCGTCTTTTCTAAATTTTAATCTAGTTGCATTCTCTTTAACCACGGAAAGACATCTACTTG